CGTGACACCTCGCGTAGTCGATGACCACCGCGACAATAAACGAAATTGCGTTTAATTTCAGTGGATTCGATTGCCTAAGTTTGGAGTTACGCCCTTTTAAGAATATGTGTCGGGAAAAGAGGGACAAAAAAATACGTAGAATTCTTCCATGGAATAATTTGTATCAGTTCCTCCTTGTCACTTTGGTTTCACTTTCTTCCCACCTAAGGCATTTTCATGTAGTTGCTATTCTCCAGAATGTACCTCCATGTAAACGTCATAAGCAGCTGCTTGGCGAACAATTCCAGATAATTTAAAGCGATTGTCCCTTTAGTTTTTAATAGCGTTCCTGTGATACATGAAACATAGTAGTTGTTAAGGCTTTACATAAATTTTCCCGCTTCCACAAGGAGTCACCATTACTTATTTGTTTCTCTCCGACACACCTCTTTACCATCAACTTTAGACCCGATGTGTATGTAAAGTTTACGTGCACTTTATTAGGACTTCTGTAAAGACAAATTAGAACGCTTGCTGTCAACGTGCAGGTGCTTTGAAGACCGCGCCGCTTAGCCAAACTGCAAATGTACAATCTTATGTGTTCGTAACACCATGACAGAACTGGACTTATGCTCGAAGCTCGTATGAGATATCGAAGACTGACGCCTTTCCCAGCATTATGTCCAATTTTTGCTCACCCGCAGTACAAATGACCATCCTCCAGTGTTAAGTGACCTGTTTGTCTCTCTAGATAAAAATGCGCACTAAATATTTAGTATTACGAACAAAAAGTGCTGAAAGAACCCTAATATACTGAATTAAAGTGGCGCAAAAATGCATGCGACCCATCAAGAAGTGCACAACCGCAACAAAGTTTATGACACCCTTTAATGCAGTGCATCACATCCTCCAATTCCTTGAACAGATCTTTGCAGCATTGAAGAAACTTGATTCAGCTTAGCGTTACTGTTGTCTTCACTGCGCTCTTCGTTACATGGAGGACTTTGGTAACATCATTTTACTAATAACGCAAATGTAAAAAGGAGTTACTTGAAATTAATATGGAGGTGTTGGAGGTCACATCAATGCTAGGGAAATTAAGGAAGGATCTACTCTGTAACCCAAGACTAATCTACTGCCATAAACTCTTTTAAAACTTTGCTCTTTAGTCAAGAGTTACTAATTTTCTTCTATCCACCGTGTGCTGTAAATGTAATTTTAATTAAATCACTTTTGAGAGTGGACATAAAAAGTGGATGAGCCCAGTCATCTCCAATCGACAACTTGGAGATGAACCTTAGCAGTCTCGAATTCGTCATGTGCACCCTAACACCTCATAGTTGTGCCTTTCATGCGCACTGTAGTTTTATGGGAGAGAACGACGGTTGGTGCCGTGGTAGTCAAGGTTTTCATATCGTATTTGCGCACCCTCTGCTTGTTTGGTGTTTTGTACAACTCCATCCTGTGGAGAAAGTGAGAGCTGTCTCCATGCCACAGAAGTCACCTCAAGGCGGTTTTAACGCGCTATTAGGAAGAGGATAGAAGGAAATTTTAGATGGTCCACATTTTGATAAATTAAAATTTCCATATTCTTTGTAATTAAATTAACATTTAATTTTCAAGAAGTGGCGCGTTATTTTGCAGTTATTTAAGCACCTAATTTAACAATCGGAATTGTTAGATGCACTCACTAGTAAGCATGAAGTCTCGACCAATTTTTAATAATTGAAGGAGGCTTTTGTTCTCTTCGAACCTGCATGGAGCATTCTTGTAAACTCATTTCAATTTTGCCATTCGTAAACAGCAACATACAACAGTGACAGCCATCGCCGGTCCACATGTACTCGGAGACGTCCCTTTTCTAGCAGTTATTTAATCATTGGCTAAAGTTGATCGCCTTGCAGATCAACAGTCACCTATCTACAGGGAGTGAAATAATTGAGTTAAACATTCTTCTAGTTGGGCTGCCTTGGAGATGACGCTGGAGACCGATCTAGTCAGCTAGCAGTACTACCTTGCTAAGGACTCCACAGTCCAATGGCAAATGAAATTTTTCAAAATTTGCTGAAATGTCTAACAAATTTTAGCGAATGGTCAGAATTCGTTTAAAATTCAATTTCTTACACGGACATGCATAATCCTTTTTCCAAGTGAAAGCAATATCCTGACGCAACAGTAGTCCACCTTACAGTGCGTTTGAAATTCCATCTTTTACAGACGCTTTTTCTAGGTCGCACTATCAAATGATCGCCTTTTATGTTTGAAAAAAAATGCTGCATTGAGCAATGCTACAAATGAATGAGTTGACGACAAGGAAGGAAGCGCAGTCAACCCTGTTCCTGCGGCCGCAATTCGCTCCGTGTATACCGCAGCCTCCGACCAAGGTGTTATTTTAGCCACCCTCATAGCGACAGGGAGAGGGAGAATTCTTCCACTATTGGCGTGGCTATCAAGCAAATAGCATCAACAACAAAAAATAGGTACAGCAAAATGAAGGATGTCTGTGCACTTGTGCGTGAGTGCTTGTGTGTGACACCCTCACCTGGTCGTTTATTGGGCCACTAAAGCATCCACGCGCACACACTCGAAGGTGGTCCATTTGCGCACCTTGGCAACCGACACTTAGACTGACGGACGGTCAGTCGGTAGGACAGGGGATGGGGGCTAGGAGCGGAGTGCTAACCAGTTTTGCTACCAGTGCCATCACTGCCGCCACCACTAACACCACCGCCACAAGGGGATCAGGTGGCCTGTGTGTACATGTTCCTCCCCTTCCTCCGCCCTCACGTTCTCACGACCAGTCAAGCGGCTACCCCGGCCAGAAGTGTAGCTGCGCAAGCGAAGTATTGCATCACAAATTTGTGTTCGTGTGCACATACGCTCTACTTCTCAGTCTATCTCACTCTCCTGACTTTCGAATACGAAACGTGCGGCTATCACTCAATGAGTCGGCAACATAGAAAGAAGACCTGTTATGACTACCTACAAGTAGCAGAGTTCCAACTAAACCAAATTTTTTTTCATTTTTATAATACCTATTCTCACTTTGATACGCATCACGCTGTGACAGCTTTGATTTTACCAAAGTTTACTAAGTATATTGGGATAGTTAATGCATATAGTGAGAGAAATGCACTTGTTTTAAGCCTCAAATAATAATAGTGACCACCATTTTCCTTTGTAGCCATTGAGCAATGGTCCTACAATGTTATTTGCGCTTGATTAAAGGGGAACTGCTTTTAGCAACCCGAAAATCGTTCCAAATCAATCCTCGAAATGATGGCCTGAGTTAAAGTGGTCCAGCATGTTGTACTGATCGGCCAGTCTCCATGGGCTGATTCGATTTCCACCCACTTATGCGGCATTGCTCACGGCAATAATGGCATTTTTTTTTCGTCCGAAAATTGGCCTTGTCTGCATGATAAAACGCCATCATAAAGGGTTAGGGCCACCCCTCAGATTTATATTGAAAAGTCTCGACGGAAGTGTTGGGTTTTATTTGTGGAAGTCCTCTTGAAACTTCCCAAGAGTCTCGTCTGAAAAGGCGGCCCTTGACGTCTCTTTTTGTCATGATGACAGCATTTCGTTTGCTCGTGTGGATTTATTGCACCAATCACCTACGCCATCAACAGCACCAGTAGTTGAGAATGAGGTCATCGAGTCGGTCATAGGCAAGACGGCTGTTGCCAGGACAGCTGGCTGTTAGTTCACGAGTAGCAGTCTCAGGGTTGATGTCCGCGTGACCATTTTTTGAAGAAAATTCCACCAAACGGTAATTTCAAAGAAACTGTTTTCCATCGAAATGGTTGTGCTGATTTTAAATAAAGGTTGGAGGTTGACAATTAAAATGCTAAGGAAAAAATCTTACAAGTGATTCTCATCATTATACAATAACACAAGAAATTTGAATCAAACTGTCCCCTCTATGAGCAAATTATGAGTAAAATTCTCTAAATACCTGTCAATGATAGAAAACTTGGATGCTACGCAAGAAGTGACAATCAGATTGACAATCGGCAAAGGGCAGCACTCATTGTACTTCCTAACACTCCTGTACACGACTTACAAAATCATTATCCTTATCGTGACAGTTATACTTTAGATGTGACTCTCAAACTCTTCATTTTGGATCCTGGAAGCATAGTAAAAATTCAAAATATCGTTTACTGCTAAAAAGCACCAATTTCATGCAGAGCTCAAAGAAACGTTGCTTAAGCATTCAAATACTTGGATCCAATTAAACCTAATATAAACGAACATCGTGTACACTGGCATGATTGGCGTTTAGGATACAGGGTGTCATTATGTTTGAAGATGGAGTTATTGTACGTGACCGTGGTGACCTAATGATACTTCTCTATTGATTTTATTGTCCTGTTCATTTCCAACTTGTAAAAGTACGAGTCAAGGTTAAAGCGAAGAGTATGGCAATACATACAGTAAGTAGTTTAATAAACGCGCACCACTTTCATTAGTCTGATTAAGTGACCATGAAACTACTATAATAAGAGCTCACGCTTGATCGTTGTAAAATATGGCAATTTTTAAATTTGACGAAATCAGAAAGGTAATGGTAAAAGATCCATCGAATCTAGTCTAAGACCATTTGGTTGTATCCAGTAGGTTGTATAATTACTTTGGTTATTGGTTTCGTAAATAATAGAACTTAGTTATAGCCAGTTGTCCACCAGTTAGATTCTAAGGAAACAGGAATTATTTATCCTCTGCAAAAGACCTTATAAGCAACTATTTTATCACTCTTAGTCATAATAATTTTTCCCTAATCAGGGAATTGTTAGATTACAAATTGGGTGGAGATCAAAAAAGGTTGAATAAAGTATTCTACGCGCTCATGTAGACCAATAAGCAAAGTGCGCGAAGCGATTCTTACAGCATCAACCAATCACCCTACTACCGTGGCTGTCTGGCCAATGGACTGTTGGACTGCGGAAAGCGGGAGTAGAACAAATCTAAATTGGGGCGATCATCGTCATTCAGCGGAAATAAGCGATAAATAGGAAATGACGTATGATGGAGCACCGTTTATGCAACACTCCCTCCTTTATGCATCCTCGATCCTTCACATCCCACCGCCCCAAGAGCTACTTCAGATGGTTGCGAATTGGAAACACTATTCCACCTTTGTGCTTAAATCACCTTCGACTCTCAATCGACTACAACAGAACAGTGGCATTGTAAGCAGTCGCAACGGATCCTATATGGAAGCTTCTCTTGCAGGTATTTTTGTCGCTTCATGCTACAGAAACGAGAATGCTACAACCAACAAAGTTATGACATTTTTTATAATAAACTTTTTAGGACATGCATTGCTTAATTTTTTGATAGAAAATCATTTCATGTACTAATGAACCCAGGATAGACATCTACTAAGCGTAAAGGCAGGTTTTTACAACTGTTGTATTAATCATTAAGCCCACCTATCTTTTCGAGACCGAGTTGACCGATTTTAAGCAATTTCAAATCCCATTCAATTTTGAGGATTTAAATTTTGCATTCAGAAAAAAGAGTTCAATTTCGGATTTAGAGTGGATTTCGCTTTGCCACTTATTATCTTCAAGTTTCAAAGTCACTTGTTTTTAATGCTCAGCACGACTCTCTCGAACAGTCACGCAGTACTTGACGATGAAGCGGTGCAACGATAAAAAATTTGACCTGACATGGAGCGGTGCTCCAACAGAGATGGCATCTCTCAAGCCTTCAAGGCAGACTGCAGGTGCTTCTGTTGGCGCAATGTTTGGTGTGCCACCTAACGAGAGTGAGTAGTTCTTCTTCTGAAGCTATCTGTGACTCAAGATCTCATAACTAAATTATAATACTATCTTGGGGGAGAGAGTCTGTCTTACGCGGCACCACTTATATCGTTTTGGTACATCAAGTGATTTTTTAAGTAGTAAAATATCCATGAATTGTGTAGGTTGCTCCACTTCACTACGTCGAGCAGATGCGAAAATTTTTGACTTCCGAAAGTTGGCTGACTCTTGCCTGAGATCTGTGAGGGATCAGATCACCCTGAAGACTGTGGATGGGTCAGAAAGGCGTCAGAAACGCTTTCCAAAACTGCGATTGCAACACCCCTTCCCATCCACCCGCACAGCGACCAAGTGCCGGTAACTTCCCTACTGTACAGAAATAAGTAGTCGTTGTGCGCTAAAGCATCCTACACTAAGGTTATTTAATTTTAGAACGAAAAGGCAGTATATATGTCGATTTTGCCATCGACAATTCACTAAGTCCTACAATCTTCTTATCCATGAACGCACTCACACGAATGAACGACCCTTTTCTTGTGAGATTTGCGGAAGGGCATTTCGAAGGCAGGACCATTTACGAGACCATAAGTGAGCCTCCACATTCAATGCTTCTGACCAACTGCCTCGTTCAAAACATTCAAGGAACCTGAGAATGTCAATGAATGAGAAGACATTTAATTCCAAACTTGTTACCGCAATTATAAATTCCATTTTCTTGAATTCTAGCAATCTCCTGCACTGGGTTATCATGCCTACATTTTTATTTTTTTATTTTTATTTTTTTCAGATACATACATAGCACGAAGAAACCGTTTTCTTGTGAAATTTGTGGCAAGGGATTCTGCCAGTCAAGAACACTCGCACTGCACAAAATAACTCATTTTCCCAACAAATAAAAATCACGATGAAATACACTTCGCACTGTGTCTTGCAAAATAAAGGTAAATTTTGTTTCAAGCATACCCACCCCAAGATTGTTCGCAAATAAGGAAGTGAGTGAAGTGATTACAGGGTGCTAGTAGACTCAAAGTGATGTCCACGTTCAATGGGCGTCAACCCAATCATCTAGCGGTTATAAACCGTTTTTAGCACAAAAAAGCCCTCTAGCTTCATAGAGTAAAAGAAAGTTGCCCATTTCTTGCATGTGTTATTAACCCACTTTGAAATGAAGTGAAAGAGAAGGCGATGATGAGTTGAAATGCCTTAATTTGTTGCTTGTCTCTCGGTTTTGGAGATGGTTACGTAGACCCTTTCCGGTGTACCTCTGCAATGCGGCCTGTCATTTGGGTCTCAATGCATACTCGACTCGAGTAGTGCCTCCTTATTCGTTACGACGGCCTCAGAACGCTACGTAACTACCAAAAGCCTTCACATTATTAGCAACCGAAAAGCACGATAAAAACACCAAAGACCATACTTTTCCCAGTTTATAATGTAGGCAATATTTCACACCCCTATCAGTTAATTGACAATACCGAATAGTCGCCACACAAGAGGTCGACTACGAACATCTGTACTGATCGTTTCCAGTGCCTGTGGTACTTTTCTTCGACAGACTTGGAAGTATGGTGACTGAAATGCCTAACGATCATTTTTCGGTAAAAGTCCGCCCTCTCAATAAGGTTTCATTGCAAATGGAAGTGGCAACTAGCAAATAATTTGAGTTATCCGAATAAAAAAGAAAGATTGGAAGGTTACAGAAATCACAGCCATGCACGGCTTATCTGGCCTTTTCAGAGGAACATTCAGCTTAGCCATAAACGCTGATTTTAACAGGCAGTTCTCCAAACGCATGCTCCGATAGACGGTAGAAGAGGCGGTCAAATACGACAACGTCACATAACCAACTTGGATTGGTTGCGCAAAAGCATCTGCTCTGTTAACTAATTATGTAATACAGAACGTGAAAACGGGTTTGGAGAGCTATGGAAGGGGGAAAATGCAGTCCTAGAATGAGTAGGAAGCGTGCGGACTAACAGAATGATGGCACACCTGTCCAGCCAACTTGGTCAAGAATTGACAGCTAATCGATTTGTTCAAGACTTTTGAGACCCAAATAGAAGCAAGTTTCATTTCACAAATTATTTAAGCTAAGTTGCTCTGTCATAAGACCCTCAGCGCGGATGAGAACACATAAAGCATGAAATAGACACATTCTAAGTGACAGGATCCCATAAAAGAAGAGTGACAATTTTCACAGACGAAAGAAACAAGCTCCCAAATTGCACACCAGACAAATACACATACATAAATCTGCCATTTCAAAAGCCTCCATGTCTCCAAAATCGTGTAATGTTAGCGTCGATTTAAACACTCATCAATTGAAAAAAAAATGTGGCACCCAAGTGACCACAAGCATGTTCATAAAAATACTTTAGGTCAAAGCTAAGAATGTTAGTAACTGGTTGTGATCGAGAATGGAAGGCTGGAAAAGTGTAAAAGGGACACACACAAACATCTAGGTATGTATCACATAGTAAGAGAGCGATTGAGGCTCAGGGAAAGACGAGGAAGCAATTCAGCCTGCAGCCGATCTCAGCAGAACTCGTGAAAACGCTCAGGCAAGAAATTGGCCTCGTTGAACTCGTTCTGCCGATGTCGTGCGTTCCAGTGCAGACAGTGAGCCAGATCCTTGAACCAATCGGCCACCTATAAAGAGAATAGGAAACCATGACTATCACCTCGTTCCTAAATGAGCTCAAGTCCCAATAAACCCCACCACGCATGCATCACTGTTAGATCAGTAGGCAGGAATTGACTCAATGAAGCAGTTAGCACAGCAAAGTACATCTTCCTGACATCTACTTAACCCTATCTTCAAAGCATGCGATAAATTGAGCTTAAAAAAGCACTATCAAAACGCCAAGAGATTACTCATGCTAAATAAATCAAGATGAGACGATTGCCATGACAAACAACTCCTTGAAGGGTGGTTGCAAAAGGCCAAGAAATCCCTATGAACCAATGATAAGCATCAAAAGAGTGTAAGTTAGTGCATTCATAACCAAACTTAATAATGCCAGTTAAATTTACTTTAACCAAAGTGTCCATCCACCACATGATGCGAGGTAATTATAAAAGCCCTGTCGGGCAGATGCTAATAAGTGGAAAAAGAGGCAACGAGTACAACAGAACAGTATTATAAGTGCGCTACTTCAGTGCAAGCTACAGCCACAGAGTTGACAAACAAACTAACGACAACCTCTATTTCGCCTTCATTCAAGATGAAAGTGGAGTCAAAAGGCCGACAGTGATTATTCTAGGGTTTGGCTGGGGAAGCCATGACTTAAGAATAAAACTTAAGCATTCGTACAATACACCTACGATTGGGATTCTCAGAGGCCCTTCAAGAGACTTTTGTCGACAAGTACTTTTATGTGGAATTTGAAGCAGTGAGACCTTCTACTGCCAGGCCCAACGAAATGCAGTGCTGCGAAAACACATCCATCACCCGCGTACTGATGCATATCAGTAAAGTTTTCAAAACCAACTTTAACTTAGACTGAGACAATAGAAGGGCACTTCAGTTTACTTTTCTTTAAATTCCGATGCAACTAAACAATTACTGACATGCTTTTTGCCTCAATTTTACCTCATTTAGCAGTAAACACGCATTGACCTCAGACAGATGTGATTTCAACAACTTCAAAGCTTAAAATGAAACTCAGATAAACAAAAGATGCACGCGGTGAAACTTAATACACACTCTCAACTAGCAAATTGCACAGACTTTCGACCTATTTGGCCAAAGAAGTTTTCATTTTCATTCGTCTAACCATTCACAGGAAAACATGGAGACCACTGCTCGACCTGGAGCAAAAAGCACAGGCTTAAAGGAACTTCTTAGAAAGTGCTGGATTTTAGGGCACACAAGCAAATCTGGCATCTATGCCTCAAAAAATATTGTTGTGGTGGTGTCAAATTCTAAACGACACCGGAATTCCATTGAAGCGAACAAAAAACAATTATCTTAGAATAAATAGAGGTGATGGGCCGATTAAAAGGAGTAGTCCAAAAAATAACGCATATACGATTAAAGAAACCACTACGTAAGGTAGAATTACTTGAATAAAGAGTGCTAAGTGACTCCCAAAATGCAAATTGCAATTGGAGTAGATAGTTGAAAAGCTCCTGCTGCTCCAGATCAGAGCATACCTCTAACTGCGAACTCGTGGAGAGTTGACTCAATCGCCAAGCAGACTGTGCCAGTACCAAACAGAGAACAAGGAAAAATGAACAGATTGTGGAGCATGAAACAGACCATAACTGTCGAAATCACAAACAGGAACACAAGATCTGTCTTTTAGGCTGTTTCAAAATCGCCTATAAATCAATCAGTATCAACTGAAGAAGTTAAAGACAATCAACCGGTAAAGGAAATACTTCCCAATGAAATTAGAAGCCTAACCAATTCTTAAGCTAAATCAAAATTAGCATTATTAACCAACTAAAAGATAGTTCCTAAAAAGACAGGCATACAGCCCATAGATAACCAGGTGGAGAAATCTATTGGACACACAGAGGATTACTAACCACATAATTTACAAGTCTAGTAGTGGTTAATTTGCAGGACCCAATCGTGCGTTAAGAAATCTAAATGGTAGAAAGACTAAAGCAGGCACACTTTGAATTACGGCCAATCGAGGGTTGCAGACCTGGTTTTCACTACCAAAGCATGGAACAGGGAAGTGAGAGGCAGTGAATACAACGCGATCAGCTTTGTGAACGATATGATGGTGTCGGAGGCGCCCATCGTTAGAGAGGTGAACGGATTCGCAACGCGCGTCGGGGGCAATAAAAACCTCAAGACGAGTAGAAAAGGGGAGAACCAGCGGACGGCAGCTCAGAGAGTGTGCGTTGATAGGTGTCACAAGAATGGCCGGCACTCCAGGATTCAGTATCGATGCCCCTGCTGACATAGAGTACGCTGTACTCCCCGTTGGTGTGGAGATTATTAAGCCTAGTGAGAATAGAGACAGCAAGATGAAGGAATGCCCACACCATTAATTACATGCAAATCCACAATCCTAGCCCCTCATAGAAATTAAGAAGGCTCGAGTATGTGGAGATAATTTCCTTAGCATCGATCTCAAACTTGGTGTGTGGCATACGAGGTTACCTATGGCAGAAATTGGGAATGAAAAAGAACGTCGAAAAAACGATGGGAGTAAGTCAGTTGAAGAATGACGTTCTGCTTGGTTAGGGTGTTTAGAGAAAACTCCAACCGCAGAGCAAAAAAGTGTGGGAAAGCAGCTCTAAATTGTAGCCATCTAGCAAGCATTAGAGCAGTATCCATAATGAACCACTTGTTGCAGATTGAGCAAGCAAGAGGTTACTGTTGACTATTGACGAAGCCAAGTGAAGAGAGCCTGTAGAGGGAAGGATTGGAGGTGAAAGAGCATGTATACAACAGCTTATCAAAACACCACGAACCACATGTATCTCAACACACGGCGAAAACAAGTTAAGAGTCAGGAAAACAATGATTTCCTAACAAAAAACTTAAGCAGGTTAATAATTAGTTCTCTCAAGCGATCAGAGGTAATTCCGTTGAATGCATGGGATTTAGTTAAATGTAACCACCAATAAGGGAATTCGTTTTAGCTTGGACACATTTGATGTCACAGGTCTCATGGAAATAAACTCTGAGTAGTTCCACAAATAATAGTACAAACAAGAGATTTATGAATAGGCCCATCCATATGGCAAAGGAGAGCAAAAAGTACGAAGAGGTGGTATAAAGGGCAGACCTTGAAACGTACCATCACCGCAGAATCGAGTGACCTCTTTGCCGTCAACACTGAGAACCAAGACCGTGAGGTAAGGGCAGTTTCCACGAGTGAAGGTGGCTTCGTTCAATATCTAATATCCGTATGCACAGTTGCAAAGTGCGATCAATCTACCAAGTTCTACATGGATTGTAATTGAGCACAAGATCTAGCACTCGAATGTCAACGTTAGTGAACGTTTTGAAGAGAAAATATGACTAGTAGTAGGGCATGAATGTAAAAGTGAATAACTTTGTGAGAGGGAAGCGATTTGCCAAGCAATGAAGGTAAGAGTGAAGAGCCTACCACTTACGTGAAAAAAATCCGCCCCCGTTTGGTTTTTGACAGAGTCCAGTTCTATAGATGTATGAGGGCACGTTTCCGAATTCTCACCACGTATCATCTGACAACAGAGTCGAGAGCGAAGAATGCAGGGACCACCCTCTGAACGTAATTGCAAATGAAGAAGACAGGTTAGCTTATTCCTTAGCAGGCTTTCATTTTTTGGTATATCTCAGGGACGGCCCCCAGAAACCAAGGACTACACAGGATTGCGCATTACCTCAGCTTCCTTTGGATGTCTGCGCTGTGATCGTTATTAGTTTAAGCGGTGGCAACGTTACAAAATAGCTTCATGAAGTCACGCTAAGTTGGGGCTTCACAGTACGCAACTGAAAGCGCAATTATAAATTACTTTAAGCAAAAGAAATTTACCCAATAATTCAAAGATAGATTTGACATTACTCATACCAGTGTAAATTTGTTTGAGAACATGAGGGAAGTCAGCGAAATTGAAGGGTGTGAGAAAGCCCAGACTACCCATGTAGAAAGAAATGATGGGCGGAACCGTATCCTGGACGAACAAATAAACAGATCGAACTGTGTATCCATGCTTTTAAATGATATGCAGATCAAAAAGGTTTGGTTTTTGAATAAGTGTTTCTTACGTAATTTTGGTATCTTTTCCGAAACTAAGGCAGCATATTTTGAGTTGTGCAACATAAACCAATTTCGCACAACCAGGAGTGAGCTAGTAGCATAGAAAATGTTAACGAGAATCCAACCTATTTAAAAGTCTCAAACGCCAGAATAATAAAAAATAACAGTCAAAGTATACCTGAAAAAGGGATGCCACATGAAGAAGGGTACCATCACCACCCATACAAATGACCATGTCCGTAAGATTGGGTTCATTGACCATTTGACTGTCAAACACTACAATCGCGCTCTCAAAATTAACCATTTGTCTGTCAGTCTGCCAGAACTGGTCAGGATTTTTGCCAGCATCAGCTATTTCAGGAGGCAGATCAAATCGCTCTACAGCTGTCATAGATCCTTTGCGATCACCGGAGGATGGAGGTCTTTCATAACGAATGTGTGCATCAAGAATTGGCCGAAATTCCTCGTCGGCTCGAAGAGCATCAATGCTGGGCTTTTCCAAAAATATAAACGCGTTGAAGTACTAAAAAGGCAATATTTTTCATGTTCTCCATAGAGTAACAGCACTACGAAGCGAATGAATAAGGACCAAAATGCATTTCATTAACTTCCAGAACTAAATTAGCTCAAATTCCTCATACGTAAGGGGGTATTTCTGATGAAGAGCTTATTTTGTGCCAATTCGCTTCAAAATTTCCTACAACCGAGAAACTTGTTTTCCTTAGATTGGGTAGTTTTTGATAGGAAAGAGTACTAGCCGTGCTGAGTTCATAAGGTAGTACACAATTTCATAGTAGCAACAGCTCAAAATTCAAGACTTTTCCCCTTCTAACCCAAAAGATCTGTTTCAACTATGTAAAATCGTGAAACTACACATCTAAAAAAATAAAAAAGAACGATGAGAAAAATCACACACTAACATAAATCAACCCGGATCAAGAGTATCGGAAAGCAAGACCGATAAGAACCAGATCCAGTAAAAATAACGAGCGAAACGAAACAGCGCCCAAGTTAATTTAAGGAAAAAACCTTAAGGAGGAAGTAAACGACGGCTTTGAGTCCAGTGACGACGGAGGGAGTGTTCATTTTGTGAATGATGAGAATGTTCTTCGACCAGTAGTTCCACTTGATTCTATGAACATTATCATGCTTCTCTAAGCTAAACAGATAATGCATCAGAAACGACTACCTAAACGATGGATGAATACAAACGGCCTCACACATCACAAATTCAAATGCACTCAAACTGATCAGCACACGGTACAACTCGAAGGTCACAAATGAACATCTAGGACATGTGATTCATCGAAGTATATTAAAACCTGGAGAGCAAAATGTGTGAGGAAACTATGCATAATTAGTGTCCATTACATTTGACCAGATCCACAACAGAAAATACAAAAGCTCAACCCTTTACAGAGATTGAACTGGCGAAACTTAATAAGGTCTGGATCGGAGTTTGATTTGGCATAGATAAAGGCGAAACTCAAAGTCTTGTTATAACAACTTAAGCCCCTTTATTAAGCAGAAAAGGTAGTAGATTAACAATGACCAAATGTATTCTGTAAAAATAAAATAGATTGGGCTTTTCCTTGATGTGAAATTCGGCCAAAGCTAAAATGACAAGACGAAAACCAATTTCCGCCCTCTGATAAAAGACGACCATCTAAACAAGGTACTGCACTGTCCTTCCCTGTAACGCTTTGGTTATGCTACCACCTGAAGTTCGGCGGTCACTTTAGGGTTTGTCTGGCCCTTGTACTCGTGGAATGGCCTTCGAGCCATGCTCTGGCCCAGTTGCTTTGTCCTCTTTGAAATACATTTATTCACTCACACTTACTGCCTTTTTTTACCGTATAGGAAGTCTCGGGATACTACGTTCTCTTCTTCTGGACGACGTCTTCAACGCTCGCCTTGGTGGACTGCCCGTCCAGCCATGGGCTGTGAGCATTGGGCAAAGCACTCATGAGCCAGTCACACTAGTAGTCAGCTAACACGAGAATGAGATTACACACACATTTGTTAACCATCACTTGTTTTAGGACTAAGGGCGGAAATACTAATCTTAAATAGCTATCTCACAGGGAAGGCGGGATCAACACAGTCTCGTACAGAAGACGGTTCGGATTCGTGCCATCCATGACACTTATATTCGGATTGTGTAAAGGGAGTCCCGACGCGAATCTCTTTCAGATGGTTTACGGGGATGTCGCTTCAATTGTTAAGGGATTGTCTGCGGGACTCGGAGACAAGATAACTCCAAAAGCACGCATAATTTTCAAACCTTCTTTTATAAGGAATTCAAAACTCCCAGCTCATACGATATGCGCCGTCCCAAAAAGTTCAAAAAATGCATTAATACATAATTTAGGAAGGCAAGAAGGATCTACATTTAGTTTGTCATAAAGACATACCCAAGCATAGAACTACTGGACCAAAATTAAATCTTCTATTCAAACATCAAGTGCTCTTATAGACGAAATATTGCGTTACAAATTTTATGCGCTCTGGATGTTTCATATGCATTGAAAAGTATTGCACTGTTAAATTCGACCGGATTAGCAGCGATGTCGGCAGTACTTTGTTTATTTTACAACTTGAATGCCTGACAGTGACTTTTTACTTATTGTGTTTTTTAGGAGTGACAAATGTAGTGCCCCAAGACTTCCAATAGGGTGGAAGAAGACATGTGGATACATGTCTTCCCAAGAGAACAGAGAAAATGGGCCTGAACATGGCCCGAAGGCCAGTCCACGAGTACAAGGGCCAAACAAAAACTAAAGTGACCGCCGACAATCATATGGGCACGTAAACAAAGCATTACAACCAAAACTTTCAGGTAAGGCGAAATTAATTTTTCCTTTTGCATAGATGAATGCAATCAGCTCCAATGGATGCCTTTTCTACCCAGTGGGAGTTGTTAGGAGGCTACAATACTGAGTGTAATACTATGTTTATGTGGCCACATAATGTTTGGAGGTCACTTTATGATTTGTCTGGCCCTTGTACAAGTGGGCTGGCCTTCGGGCTATGTCCAGGTCTATTTGCCCCGTCGCCTTCGGAATTCATGCATCCAAATGCACTTACTAACTTCTTATACCGGCCAGGAGGTCTCGAGACGCCACACTGGTGGCAGCGGAAAGCACACCTGACATTTTTATTTAACGACTTTTAGCCGAGGAGGGGCCTTTCTCTGCGGTTTGTTATTCAATGGTCGTCTGTTAAAAGCGACATACTGTCCGCAAAAATCTCTTGACAAACAGACACCGCTGTCTTTCTGGCATCCCACGTTTGTGTTGCTAAACTTTGCCAATTAATCGACTTATTTCCGAAAAAAAGAACAGTACTAACAGGCCGACGAGCAAGGCTTCGATTGGACGATGCAATGTTTCAGCATCTACAAATCGCACAGGATCTGGAGATGTGTGTCGCTTGTTCGTGTCGTTGATGCTCTGGGTTTGAGTATCTATGAGCCTGATAATTTGTTGGACCCCAAAACCGGGTTTCCTCGACCGGAAATTCGAAATCTCTCTTTTCATGACAAGAATTTTATAATTCAACCAGCAAACGAGACTGCAAAGGAACACACTTTTTAGTGGAGAAATGCAAGTTATATAAGCTCATTTTGGCGTTGTGCACCAACAACCATGAGCTATACATGCGTGGGAGGTCTGTGTAGTTACTGCCTTTCTACCCTCTGGTCCCTGGTTCTAAGAATTCAAGAGGAAGTTGGTTGTAGACGGTTTATTAGGCATCGCTGTAGGAAGGATGGAGAATAAGATACAGATGCGGTGAGTAGGAGATATCAATCGCAGGGAGGCTCCTCGCCGACCTCGCGCACGTGATCCACGTTCATAATTGCTCCCCGCCTCTCGCCTATAAAAGTCCACTTAAACAAGCTAGAATGTATTACAGTCTGACTCTATGGAAGTTCAATAGATGAAGATACAGGTGAATAGGAGCGGGAATTGAAGGAGGCGCATTTACCTTGGTGACGGAGGATTCCAGAATCCTTCCCAACGAAAGGATTCAGAGAGATGTCTACATTTGGCTTCACCTTATTCTCGGGGCGCTACACTGAGCATCCATTATAGAAGTTGATGCATCCTTCCAGATGACACATCGCGTTTAACATGGCAAAATACTTGTAATTATGCAGAAACCAGCCCTTCAACTATAAGTATTATGAACTCTAATATGATCGTCATTCATACCACTTACTCACTTTCTGAAAAGCTCATTTAAAAATATTGACTTTACAGTTATTTGATTGGTTTTGCTATCATGCAGTGCATAATCGAGCAGGTTCAAAGCGTTTAGAACAGCTCCTTAGACTCTTTTTTGATGATAATTTTCTTTCACAAACACATTCTTAAGCTTGTAGTAGATAAAAATCTCTGGTTAGAATGTCTTTTGATTGAATCACTTGCGTTTCAAAGAATTAATACTAAATTTCAAGGTGAAACTAGTTGGCATGTTTTTGTCGATCTCGGCCATTGATGTCCAGCGGCACTGTGTGCGTCTTCAGTCATCAGCGTCGTTTTAAGAGTAACATCGGATTATGTCCGAGAAATCCAGTGCATTCGTGAAATGTATATTGATCGGTGAAAGTGGAGTTGGAAAAACTAGTCTGGTTGTTAGCTATACTAAAGATGATTATCCAGTTCAACATGAACCTACGGCATTTGATACCTATGTTGGTGAGCGAGTGTCATGGTTTTATTTTTGAAATCGGTGCTCGATGTCTGTGTTGTCTTTTGTTCTATCCTTGTTGTCTTTTAGGTTTCGTTAGTTATTTAAACCCTTGCTGTACATTTGTGCACATAGATCTGATTTTGTTTTATTTCTGTCTATGTACGTAATTATTAAACTACTTAGGCCACAAGTCGCGACTACTCTTTTCGCTTATGTCGACATTGCTCCAAGTCTTGTGTTAATAATATACTCATAAACCTGTGTGGTTGTATGCATTGGTAGAATTGCATGGCTTTAAACTATATAAACTGGTTTTGGTTGACGATATCACCTCTGTGTAAGCTGAAGGTTGGAGAACTTTGCTTGGCCTCTTTTATATACCTTGTCGATCTTGTGAGGATTATGCGATGCATTGACTTCCATTGTAGTTATCAACACTTGCATTTCGATTATGAGTTTGTATCTAAGATTTCCATGCTGTTTTAGTCGATCTCCGTGTTGAAAATCGTCAAGTGAACTTGCAAATATGTGACGCAGGTGGCGCTGTGAGTTTCCTGCATTTCCCATTTATTGTATTTTTAAAAACAATCATGCTCTCATTAATTTTCCCTAATATTCTATGTTACGCTGTACTACTCCACCTCAAAATGCTTAGTCATTCTAAGGAAAATTATTGTTCATTTAAGGGTCAGTTTTTGGAACGAGTTTTCACGCGTATTTTACTGGTTTTGAGTATATTCCCGGTGATTTTATGATTTGTCTGCGAAATATTTTTTTAGACTACCCCTCATGTATGCTTTTACTGTTATTGTTTTTGGTCTAATCTCAACATCATTCACTTGTCTCCCTAAGACGTGTCGGGTGTTTTTTTTTCGCAGAATTTTTTGGTTTATGACGTCCTCTGTCAAAAGGCAGGAAGGCTATGCCATGTGTTTTGATTGTACCGTTTTATTCATTGTTAGAATTTGCTTCTCTGTTTTTTTCCATATTTAATTCTGACAGCTTAGCAAGTCAGTGCAGTGTGTGAACATCGACTGTTTACAGTATTGAGGTTCTTGTATGCGTGCCAGGTAGTGAAGAAACCACACAAAGCAGTCGGTATGGTTATGATAGGCCTAATCAGGCATTTTCCGAGATTTATTGTCGTGAGCAAGTTAGTATGCGGCGCAAGTAATATAGACGGACTACACCTTCCCTTTTGTAATCATCTACATCATTCATCCTTTATTTTCCCGCGGTGGGGTACTTATGGGCTTTTTCCAACTAATCTGGTCCCTACTTTGACACATTTGGCGTCAGTCTTATTAAATGAGCCCCCTAGACTTTCTAGAGATTTTTTTGAATTATTCGGATCTCCGGTTTGTATTTAAAGGAAAGCGTATGAATCATCTACAAAGCAATCGCAATCCATGTGGGTTTACTTCGGTTAAGTGTTTTTTGCTGTTACTCATTCCAGATGAATTGGCAGTTCGAATGCATTTTTAAACAACATGTTAATAACGGATATTAGGTATTTATTTACGAAACTGAGTCTCAACATTTTATGTACTCCCGCAAACCCGAGCCTACATTTTCTAGCCGCAGATATTTTTTCAGTGTGGATTGGGTATGATTCACTTCAAATGCCGCACCGCAGCCCAATCGAGTTACTCATGAGGCACTAAAAATTGGCAAGTACACACTTTAACCCATACAAAACCTTTGGCTGGGTTTTCACCCTTTTAATGAGAATGAGAAGGAAGCGAATTTGCGTTTACCCATGTGTTTTGGCGTGAATATGCTGTCCCTTTGGTGAGAACAAATCGCCGTTTGATTAGTTAATGAAATTTATTTGAATGCATAGCCTCTTTGGTGCTTGGTAGCCAAAATTACGTGCATAATCGGGTTTCTGTAGCAAATGAAGATAGCAATCACCATGGTTCATGGGCCATACCGAAGATGGGTTCAGTATTTGAGAGGGGGGATGTCTTCAGTTACCTATTCCAGTACTTTGTTAGTGGTCGCTCGCGTAACATTTAACCTTATTCATTTTTCCTTTCCTCATAAAGTCGTTCGTCATTCAAGGAGTACTTGGTTTTGTGGACTAAAGTGCTCTGGCACTTTTCGGTGATGTCCTAAGGAGGAATACGTGGCTTACTCAAGGGTCATCTAATCGAGTTTTAGTTTCGTTTCCTTATGTCCTAGGCATCAATTTTGTCGTGTAGTCTGCTTAATCATTGCACTTGAATACGAACAATCTGCTTCTCACCTTGGAAAACACTTGAGGGAGCCATGGATTTGGTTGGTTTCCCATTGGCCCAATTGATTGTCCGTTTTATGGCTGCTATAATTGCGATTGGTAAATGTTTTCTATAGAGTGGGACATCATTTATGGTAAACCTTTGTATGTTCATTGAAACAGTATTGCCGGTGTAATCGTACCCACTGCTTTGCTTTTACTGTATTGAAATTTGTTCATGTTCATGTATTTTTACCCATTGTCTCCAGCTCTCCAATCCTTGCTTGCTTTTTGAAGCTTTGGAAGTAAAATTAGTTTGTGCAGCTGACGTGAGGAGGTGTGCGTGGTAGTACATGTATTGACTTGATTTTAAAGTATGATAAGGTGAGCTTCTGTCTCAATCCGTAGACCTTGCTTGATATCAATTAGGTTCATTCGCACAACAACTGCAGCCGTAACTTCTTATGGGATAAAACTAACTCCCTTCATTCGAAAGGCTACGGTTACGTGGTTGTGGGTTTAACCTTCCTAAATGCATATGCACTTTTGCTCAAGGTCGCGTCGGCGTTCGTATACCATGCGTTTATTTATCAAATACAGGAGTCGTCGTCTTTTGCCTCATACGGGCCTTCCTTTCCTGGTTTATTTCCAGCCAGGTGTTCGTTCCCTTCGTGAGTTGGCCTATCCTGATGTGCATGTGGTGATCTTCTGCTTCTCCGTGGTACAGCCGGAGACTCTTTGGGCCCTGCGTGACCGTTGGCTGCCTGAATTAGCAGCTAGTGGTCTCGTTCTCAACCCATCAGCCCTCGAAACAGCTTCGCGCATCGGCTGTCTCCCTCCACCTAATCTATCAGCCACCGTTCCTCGACCTCTTGGTCCCGCTTTTATCCTCGTTGGCTGTGCCTGCGACCTGCGCAACGATATCAAGTGCCTACTTGACCTTTCGGTGCGGAACGAGCTTCCTGTTAACGAAGCTGTGGCTCATCGTCTAGCCGTGGAGTTTGGTGCCGAAGCCTACATCGAATGTTCCGCACTAACCCAGAAGCAGCTTAAGAAGGTCTTTGATCTCGCCGTTTGGTATGGTCTCCACGCGCAGCAGGCGATGCTTGGTATCACGAGTGCAGGCGTCAGCTCAAGAAACAGTCTCTCACCACACCCACTACTTGGCAGTGGGGTCTCGCGTAAGTCCAAACGTCGACGCCACCACAGTCCGACGGAGACAACCAACCAGGTGGTGCAGCACTCCAACGACTTATGTGCGTCACAACGCTCTATTTGGAAGAAGCTCCTGTGTTTGCGTTAATACCAACGGGTGGGCACCGCGTTTAGTGCAATACCTCCGATCTCTGTTTCGCTTTCCCTTTCCCTCTCTGTACGATACACGGACAAACTGTTGCGCATTGTCTCCACCCCCTCCTTTGACAGCATATTATGCATATTTTTATATGAAAAGAAGCGAAGACTACTTACCACATTTGAGTTCATTCACCTTTATCTAAAAGTCGACTTGTCTGCTAACTTATGTACAGACCAAAGCACTCCGTATGCAAGGTAAGCAAGTCCGTGCGAATTTTTTTTAGATGTCTATGTTTAATTAAAACCCATACTTTTTTTTCTTATAATAGAACGCTGGTGTACTGCGGATTCCAATTTCTTAAAACAGTCCGCCTTTAGAAGCTAAGAACTTGGTCACTCGTTCCTTTCGGTTCTCTTTCGGTCGTACTTTCCTAATGTTAGGAGATGACAATCATCACTTGTTGAGGTATTAGCAGGTGAACGCTAAGGGCTTTCCTTTACTTGAAGGTACTTTCATATGTAAGTTTATGATGTCATAAGGTTTTGTGTTGTCTATTCCTATTTTATCCATTAATTCTCACCTCTCCCGGAAAGCATTTCGCATGCTAAGCAATGTCGTATTGAGTATGTAGATCTTAGTTGCAACGGACTTCCAAGATTTATAATAATGACTAACTCCTAGTGCAATCCGCTGAATGCAATTTTATCATTAGTGCTTTGGGAGTGTGACTTAAAAGTGTGAGCTTTTGGGTGAAGCTTTTGAGAGTAACTGCCGGTGCGGTTGCTAAACTTTTGAGTGAAAGAGTCTTTTCTTGTCAGTCTGAAAACTTGCGCCGTAACAAGTTGAACAAATTGGCAGCCTTTGATACATTGTAGCCTCCAATCACTGTAATCAGTGGCAACATATTTATTCACAATTACCTAACTTAAAGAGCCTTCCTGAAAGTGTAACCGGTGGATGATGCATTACTGACATCAAGCTTTTAGATAAGAAAAAAATTGTTTACAAGTTTTTTTAAGAAGTTTCTGTACTGCGGGGAATGAAATCTCAAAATGGAAAGAAAATACTAGAGCACGATGAAGTGCTGCAGAACTGCGCTAATTTTTTCACCGCATCCAGTAGCTATTTTCACTTCACCTAGCTTTCCGCCTGATGTGAATGGTCAATTTTCTAACAACTTGGGAAGAAATCAACAGGTGACTCAATCTCTGGGTTTGAGTGGTGTTTTTCGCCGCCATACGAGTTGAACATTTCAATTTACGAACATCTGTATATCTTGCTCCAGAGAAGTCTTAAGTTGTTATTGTTTTAAATTACTCTCGGTTTCAGCAACGGGTCAATTTATTGAACTTCCTTACTGTACCTCCGCCGGGTGACCTGGCCTCCGGGTCAGTTCAATAGCCTGAAGCCTTACCGTATATCGGCATTAAATGTATTCTGCCCAAGTACCATGGCCTTCTTCGATTTCAAGGTTATCTTGGAGCGGTGAAACCTAAAATGCTCTGTTAAATAATGGAAAGTATCAGCACATTCCTAAATGAATGCCTTTTGTGCACACCATTGCACAATTGTTGACGAAAGCGGCAGACTGTTTAACCTTTATTTTGAAAGGAAGCAAGTTGCCTTTAGTGGGTCAAAGTGAAATTCGACTTTGGCCTCAAACTAAAGATCTCCTATATTTGGTGTTCCTTTTACCCTTAACATACAAAGCCGAACAGGGCGTTAAGGTATTTTATCGAAATTGTGTTTTCATTTGGGAAACGTGTGTTCCAGTACGGGGTGCCTAATCAAGTAAATGCATGACAGCGGAGACCAATCTGCAGTAGCGCACTATAAAGGCCCATACTATTCCTCGGACACATTAGCAGGCAGATTTGCTTGTGTGAAAGGACACTTCCATCATATACCCCTTACTTATCGATGCGGTGATTAGGACCCGTTAAAATCCCTCTTGTTTTTGCGCATTGCGGATTAGTTTGGTAATGATGATCGGAATTGCATGTTCTAGGTTGGCGTGTATCAAACAGGTCGTAATTATTATTGTGTTTGCTGTTGCCGGTTATTTCATACTACAGAACCGAACGTGTAAGTAAGTGGAGCGAAGTCCAGCCGCGGTCTGCGCTCCCAATCTCAACCGTCGCAACTGGACTCTCCGGTCGTTCACTCAGCAGCCTGACACTTGCAGGGTGTCACACCCTTGTAATCATACGTTATCATGCAATTAGCTCATTTAAACTCAATGGTCATTTTTTGGACTGAGGTTAGTTGCTAGTCCCCTTTACAATTATATGTAATGCTTGTCCAACAGTGCGATCCATAAACAAAATACTTTCTTGCAATAACCAGTTGTTTGCATTCAGATGGTCGAAAGAATTATGCTATGCATGAATAGGCTAAAATTCGCAAGACTGGATCTATGCTAGCATAGTTCTGCTAAGAAGGCTACACATTTAAAATTTTAAGTATATAGCCAATGCTTAACTATGGTCTTCGGAAATCTATCCTTCTTTGTGTTCTGTCTATTAATTCCATACATGTTGGAAGATCTGTATAAATTGTATTTTCTACATTATCGCTTGCCGTGGCAGCCAACCTGATGGTCCTTGAACAGTCTCATATGCATCTTTCGCTTGGGAGACGATCTGGGAAGTGATTGTCTTACACAGATCCCGTCGCCACATATAGAATGAAATTGAAACAGTGCTCTGGATTCATTCCCAAAGTATCCACCTCTTTTCATCTACCATGCCTATCGAGACACACAAAATAGTTTTACAGTTTAACAAAATTTTTAAGGTTCTTTAGTCCAAGTGGTTGGCTCAATATGAATGTCAATGAAAGAATTTTGAGGTAACGCGTGCTAGCCTTCTTGTCACATCAAGTTGTGAAGTCAAGGCACCGTGATGGCTAATGGCATCTCCTCGTGGTAAATTCGTGTACCACCGACAAATCTTGCTACGCTGTGAAAGTGGAAGACATATGTCCTCCAGAGTGCACCCTATTTAAATATATACTTTGAAAGGCGGGTGTTTATTTCGCACACACATCTTTGCTGGTTCGTTTAGCGCTGGCACAATAACATGAGTAAATTCCCCTTGGTACCGACTTCCGCAAGTAAAACAATACAGCGTCACATCTGCTTCCATGCTTAAAGATGTCATTTTTTATTAACTACCTAAACAACCTCACTACTTTTTGCATATCAAAAAATCTTTGCGACTGAGACGTCCACTTACTCTGACCGCATCCAAGTTGCACCACGTTTCCCCTACCCACTAACTATGCAGCAGAAATTGACATTCTTGAGTATAATGTGCCTTTTATTTTGTGAAATGCTACTTGAGTTCAAAGAACAACAACCTTATTGCCTCAGTGTGCAAATTAACAATAATATCCACATTCTGATTAAGTTTACCTTTCTTAAATTGAATGAGATCACTGCGAGGATATTTGGGGAGGAGTCGACCATCACATCCTAATTGTAACTGCTTTTAAGAGAAAATCACTTCAAATAGGCTGTTTCAGCCATTTTTGCTGTTCTTCGAGAGCTTGACATTCTCAATCTTTTATCTTTTCTGAGCTAACGATTTAGAATAGGCGCGTAACAGGGAGACCAAAAGGAGACACAGCACATCCGTGGTGTAGGGCGCATGTACACTTACATACACTTGTGGTGATCGTAGCAAAGTCGGTTATAAACATTTTGATTTACCAATTTCCCTTCCTGCTTAGATGCTTTTAGAGATGCCAAATAAACCACCTTCAAGTAACTCTCCTTCCATGAAGGCTGAGGTTGAGGATCCGGCGAGTGAGGAGGGGGACCTTACACTCATCAACTTACTCCAAACTACTTCTTCGGAGTTCCGATTTATTGCCATCGTTTGGTTTGGTTGGGGTTGTTTGACCCTCGCAAAGTTCAAAAATGAAAACCAGTGGTATTTCCGATCAATATAATGCAAATAAGTGCCATTTATGACTTCTTTCGAGGGACTCCTGTTTTCCCACCAATCGATTTCTCGCACTTCCTTTGCAACGATTGGTTTTGCAATGCTGAGTACCTTTGAGATAAGTGATCGCAGACTTTGCTTGATTACGGACCCTCAGTCGTTTTAATACATCAAATTCTGGCTGTTGCAACGCCAAGGCGCGTGGAGGCAAGAAGGCATAGGTCAGGGTCGATGTCTGGAAGCCAGACGACACTTTCGTCATTCACCTGTCCTCCAATTTCCCATTACCATAACACCATTTCCGCGATTGGGACGCGTTGCACAAATCCATTCTGTCCGCCGCTATCGCGTGATTGTACACTAGCGGCATAAAGTTGCCAACTTAGGTGTTAAGCCGGTACAACTAGCCCACTCTTTACCTTGACAGATCATTTAATTACCGTAACAACTTCTATCTTGCCCTTCTTCTTCGTCTGGAGTCTCTTTACTACCTTCTTATCTGATCAGTGAAGACTGATGTGAACAGTTAGTTAAAGTTAGAAGACACTCCCAATCTCCTTAACTTCTCCGTAGTCATAAAGGCATTTAATAATACAACAGATTTGGCTCTGAAAATACGCCTAAACTCTGCAGTCCACACTTTGTCACTTCCTTATAGAGTTCAAAAAGTAGGAATCAAAATGACCGGTTAGACTTGAACAAATGCCTTAACATTTTATGGTTGCAACATCCATTTCTTGAAAGGTGAATAGATGATCAAGAATCAAGAGCTTTGTTCTATTGGTCGATTATCTGTTTCATCAAAAACAACTGATTTTGTTGCCAAACTTTATCAACCGTTCCTGTGGCTAGCTCCACCATCAAGACACCCCTACAAACACAATGAATTTGGGTATTTTTGAACGGAGGCATATTTTATGAATCTGGTTGGACCGAATGAACCAGTAAATCCTCCAGCTGGTTCCGTGGGGGAGACACGGCTTGTGAATTATGACCGTGGAGTTTCTCTCCCCTGTATAAGGCCAAAACCCTTATCAAATGCCTTTAACTTCCACCCAATAAGCCATCCTCCAAGTCCATACATACCGCCGTCAAGCATCGCATCTGCACCTCCATAGAATGCTAAGTAAACAACAGACAGTGCATTCCGTCCCAACCGACTACACAACTTTAGTTTATACCTTAAAAAGTGTTAATTTCTATATCTTGTGCTCAGTGTAAGTGGTTCTCCCCATTCCAATTATTTAGCTGGATTATTCATTTGACTCCTCAGTCATTACCCACGATAATCACCTTCAAAGAGGAGTGTGCGGAAAGGACCATCAAAATCTGACGAACTTACGTACTTTCAAAAGTGGCTCGCAACCAGATAGCTCTTCCTTATGTTAACAGCCTAAAATAGGTATTCGTTTAAGCCATCGGAGATGATTAAAGGAAAAAATGAAGAGAACGCACGTGAAGAAACATTAGAAGACGAGTTGATTTAGCACCCATAAATTTCATTGTGGTGAAAATGTCTGCTTAAAATAAAAGAAGTAATAAATGCAGGCCCTAATTGCGGCATGCCGAGATTAGCAGCTTATTGCGACGAATCAGGGCGCGATCCAAGGTGTGTTCTGCCAAATTGAGGCTGGAAACAATGGGATCCGGTGAAATGCCAGCGAGAGGAGAAGAAAGGCGATGAGCAGACTGTCGTACCGACGGTGGTGAAACGATTACCTCTTCCGGTCGGGTCTGAGAAACTAGAAAATTTCCACCTCTATTGCACACATGGTGTCCTGGTGTGCATGAGAGATCATCCATCTCTTTCAAAGGTAAAACTTTTATTTTCGGTTCTTCGGTCACCAGTGGCTGATAAGAATACTTACTGGGTTCATATCTTGTGATTGTTGGCGGAATAGAACGCTTAAGCGGAAAATGAAGTGATTGTTGCAGCATTTTAGAAGGACTATCTGACAGAATCGAAGTCAGACGTTTTCGTGTTGGATGCATCTTGTAGTCCTCTAATCGTTTTGCTCTCAATCCGGGGTCTAGTCCGACTATTTCGGATCGTGATGAGCTGGAGGGATCCCACAAAGTTACATTGGCTGACTCAAGTTGATTAAAATATTTCCGAGAGAAATGACACCCTTCTGCTTGCTGTTGATTCTGTTTCGCCTCATCACTGTGGATTTTCGCCACACACGCATAATCAGAGAGATCCTTATAATTTGCTTGGTATTCTGATTGTAACCGCCTACGACGCGGTTCAAGCCCAGACTTTTCTTTCCCATTTTCGGGAGTTTGGATGGGCTCTTTAGGCTGCCACGTAGATGATGCCCGATGATTCTCGGGATCGGTACTATTCTGCATAATCTCAGATGTCTCCCTTTTCTTCATGTCAGATCGAATGTTTGCTGAGTTTGACCTGTTTTGGTTATAAATATAAGCGGGTGGTGGACTGAAAGATCGTTGATACTCTGATCGCCTCGGAGGGGCCACTTGGGGCGAGTCACGTGGAATATCCAGTCTCAATTCTGGCCAATTCTCAATTGGCTTTTTCTCTTTGGATCGAGCACGAGGCTTTAAATGATGCATTTTGGGATTCGGCTTGGTAGTTTTCCTAGTTTCTGCTGATCCATCCGACTTTGGTCTTCGGGGTGAATGTGCTTGATTATTACCCAATGCCAACGTTGACCTTTCACGAGGTGCAGACTTTGAACGCATGTAAAGAATGTTTGGATAGGCAAGTTTCGAATGGCTGCGACCATGAATTATAAAGAAAGGGTCTTCTGCTGGTACTTCGGATTGAGAATGAGGACCCCACAAACTATACGAATCCCATTGATCAAAGTGGCGTTTATGTTGAAAGTATGGTTCATTCGCTTGCTTTGCACTCCCAACACGCTGCAACGGAGAGGCGCCCAACCAAGTCTTTTCCCAATTGTAAGCACTCTCGTACTCGGTCATTTCATAGTGCGATCCTGAACATTAGGATGACCAGGACAAAACTATATGCAGTCGAATGTAACCTAAAATGGAAAAAAAGAGAGCTTAAAATATGACTATGGTACGCAATTTTACTTGTTCGGAAATTATTTCTTCCCAACAATGTCCAATATCAACTTAAATGCAATAACGTATTAATGCAGCTAGCACACCGAGGAAGGTATGTGCCAAAAAACGAAGTATTGTGCGCAAACAAAATAAACCATGTGAAGACCTTATGACTATTCACTTCGACATTAAAGGAATACAATAAGTTCTATGCTATTTTCTGATGGATAAAGCGTATTAAAAAGTTTGTAGGCCTTAATAGTTTTAGCCCTTTATTAGCCAAAAGTGCGAACAACTTCAAACCTAAAAACGCTTCAAAATGAAAACCAAAATTGATACAGCTTACAACATCAAACTTCTTGATGACACAATCCATACACGGACAAAAAATTCGTCTATGCAGTGCTCACAATAATGTGCAGATGAAGGTCTTCTTTGTCTTGATTTAAGTGCCAAAAGTACCGATTAAGTAAGTCCGAAACCACTTGAAGACAAAATATAAGCTTTCAAAAAAAGAATGACGCTCGCGTAAATAAAAGAAGCCAATCAAAACTAAAATATCCATTCAAAAAAGGACTATCAAGGTCATTCATAATTAAGGATTAGCATTGAAAATTTTCGAACACGGAATTGTTTTCATTAAATGTAAGCGTTTTCAAGTAAGCGAAAATTTGTTTACTTTACTTTAAACTTAGTAGTCAATACATACTCAAACACCTTGATTTGCATTATTTTTAGTCCAAAAAAATGCAAATTATGAAAAGTTTTAAATTGTAAAAAATATTTGTTTATTTTTTTTAAAGTTTTTGACCTATGTTTAAATTTGCCTTGGGCTTACTGGCAGAAAAAAAAGAGTGGTGCTCTTGAATTTGTGTGTGGTGTGTATCGCTTACACAACATGCCTTGCTTACTACAGTGAATTTTGGACTAATGACGTCAAACAATATCTATAGAGTTGGAGGTGCGCGCATTTTCATGTTTTTGCGCTTTTTCTTTTATATTCTCTTGAACATTCCATTGTTGTTTTCCGGGTAATTCTTAGCTTATGATGCACTTGCCTGTCTTTTTTGTTACTACTAGCCCTTGTTTGCATTTTTACCATTGTTCTGCCTCTTCTGTTCTACAATTTTTAACTTCTATTCAGCGTCACACTTCATTGTGCGCGACTTCTTTTATTAAATTTAGATGCTTGTTTCTCTCGATTTCAGACTGTGTATATTTCGAAGAATCTGCTTCTGCTCCCTATCAAATTCGACGGATCGAAGAACTTGACAAAGTTAGTGGCAATGAAGTGGATGTGAAAGTAAGATGTTTTTATCGCCGGCGGGATCTTCCTTCGGATCTCAGTGAACTTCATCCACGTTTGTTTCCCATCATGCATTACTTCCACTTTTCCAGAAAATTTATTCGTTGATGGGCTGTCGGATGCTCAGATTCATCAGCTTAGTCAACGTGAACTCTTTGTTTCCCAGCATGTTGAAATGCTCCAGGCTACACACATTCGAGGAAAGTGTAGTGTGAACATGCACGATGATGTTGCGGAAGAAAGCTTACAAACTTTGCTTGACAGGGAGGACACTTTCTTTTATCAGCTGTCTTATGACCCTGTGAAGAAGACTCTACAAGCCGAAAAAGGGTGCATCCGTGTTGGGAGTGACTTTCAGGCAACTATCCCCGATCTTATTGGTGCATAAGTACTTATTCTCCTATTCATTTGTTTTTGGCTCGTCTAGCCATTTTATTCTCAAAAAGGCTTTCTATTCATTTTTGCTTGAAGTTACGGGGACTGTATTTCGTTTGCATTATCAGTTTTACCTTCATCTCTTTTTGCCTAAGATCCTAACCAAGTTAACGCCAATCACAAGGAGCATGACCGAGAAACTCGAATGTGGTCACCTCCGTCTTCGTCTGTCCTTTCTACCTCTGATATCGACGCGTATCTCACAATGTGCAAATCACTAGCCACGTTGGCGCGTGCCAACTATGCTCCCTCGTCCCTACGTCACCCTAGTCTCATCTCTTCTGCCGCCTGTGCCTCTCGCGATACTACTCACCAGCTGGCTATGGATACCCTGCAAGAGGCGGGACATTCCATTCCGAAGGCCCTGAAGGTTCTTGCTCCCCCAGATCAGGCTCCAATTCTACGGCTAGATGAGATGGAGAAGTGGTCCATTACTGAGGGCAACCTCTTCCAACAGGGCCTTCAAAAATTCGACAAGTCTTTTCGTGAGATACAGAAGGCGATGCTTCCTTGGAAATCTCTCGAGGTGAGTCTTCCGTGTACTTCCTGGAATTCAAGGTAGTCGGTTTTACTTTATATTGTATCCATTTCACATTTTGGCACTTGATGTTAACGTTTCTATATTTATGTCCATACACTATAAGCTTTAATTTAGTAGTTTGCTCCACCTTGTGTTAGGTCACTAGCACCTTGTGCTTTAGAGCCTGGTCGGTTTCTACTACATGTGGAAGACAACGGATCACTACTTACAGCAGAAGCGAGCCAAGGGCATGGATGAGTCAGAGCGTCGCCTGAAGCAGATTTACATTAGCAATTACAGCAAGCCCAATCAGTCTGTACTGTATCCTCCCGGTCGCGCTGATGCTCCCAATGCATGCGAAGGCTGTGAGGTCAGCACAGCTCCCCAATGGTATGCTCTCGGAGCTTCACCAAACGTCCTCAAGGTCTGCTCTAACTGCTGGTCCTATTGGAAGCGGTATGGCGATCTCAAACATATTTCCGTCTTTGGTGTGTGGATTGTGAAATATTAGTTTCCCTTTGCTCTTAATTTTCCGTCAACACTGTTGCTATTCTTTACAGATAAGTTGGGTCCACTGAATATGGTATACAAGTGTCCAGTACAGACTTGTGATGAAGAATTTGATGAGAAAATAAACTTAGTTCTCCACCTTGATGCCAGGCACCCACAGTATGGTAGTGCTTGTGCCAATCAGGTCCAGCCGACACCTTCCACTCGGGTTATCAAATGTCCTACTGTCAGTCGTAACGCCAATTTCTTTTTCCTCTCTTCTCCAAATCTGCGCTTCTCACGTCGAATGGAGACGGGACGACAATGTAGGCAGCGTGCCCGGCGCCCCTTTAAGCCCATTATGCTGGAGATGGCAGTGCTGAAGGCCCTGTTGGTCTCACGCCTTGCCGCTCACCCCAATCTCCTCACACGGCTAGCTGCTATTGTCTACGGAAAGAAAGTGAGGCTTTCTAAGGATGCAGCTGCAGAGCGTTTGCTGTCCTTCGTTAAGAAAATCACGCCTTTTAATGAGATTGAATTCATCGCTAGGTCAGTTAATGTCAGTCTTTTCTTACACTCCACTAATTTCTGTTCTAAAATTGATTTTTGTTTTTATTTCAGTAAAAGAGGTAAAATCCATTGTTCTCTAATTTTGCTCAAAAATCCATCGTATTTGGGTAGGTTTTCAGTTAACCGCTTTATATTAATGTTCTATTCTTGTTGCTACTGATGAATGCTATAATAAATCAACTGCTTCATGGTTGAGATCTAAGACGTCGTCAAGTGAGTGCGAGTTATTAAAAATGCCGTCATACAAACTAATTAATTCATTGATGGTTTGATTTATTTATCTGCTCTGTGCAAGCGTTACACGAGTTACTGACATGGGCTCTCATCGTTTTTCAGCACTTACGTTTTTTAAATAATAAACTTTATGCTCTGTTTTAGATCCTTCAGGCTTTGCAGTGACAAATTATTCGAACTGCTCTTCCACACCATTAGTGGCAGTCGATGGAAAAAGTGATACCAACCTTCTCCCCTCCAACTCCATTCTCAATACTGCCGTGCCTCCGACAAACTCCAGGGCCGAGACTCTAATGTTTCATGCGACCAAAAATCTCAAGTGTGTTTTACTTGAAAATTTTAAGTAGTATCGTGTTTTCTTGAAACACGTGCCTCTGCTCCTCTGCTGTTGTAGGAGAAAACGTCGGGAAGTTATTTCCTCAAAGGATTTACACCGACTTTGTCGTCGACCTTGGTCAACTGAAGTCATCACCAATGACTTGAATTCAAGGCCAAACGAAAATAATGCGAAGCTTCAGTAATATCAACAATATTCGGCATTTTTGACCAGTTCCTTCTCCGCATCAGCTACGCATTTGTAAATTACGGCCGCTGGATAGTGTCGGTAGATTATCGTCTGCAAACGGCAACACCAAACGTTTTTTTCACACCCACTATACACTGTCCCATTCTCTCCTGAGTGTACCTGTCTTTTTTATCAGCAAAAAAACGTGTATAGTAGGTTCTCAATGCTTTGCTCTCACTGCTTTAATTAATGCGCCACACCTTGTAAACTCAGCCTTGTCGGCATAAATGTGACATGTTCCTTGCTGGTCTATGAAGAATGGGTGTAGGAGTTTGTGTAGCAAGTTGGTTATTTGGCTTTAAAATGATAAATCTTAAGTCTCTTGTACTTTTTAATACTTTGACTCAGTGTTGCGTTGGTTATAAAGGCAGGTGTTGGTTGATGACCTTTTAGAGAAGCAAATCACCGGCACTGTGATAATTGATGCACACATGAGGTCTTAGCATAAGTGAGGTGAACGACTCCAGGGAGACTTTAGGCGATACAATAAAATTGAATCATTGTTCGCTGTTGATGTGCCTCATCGGGCGCCACGTTGGGACCACCATCAGAAGTGGGAGATTAGTCGTGGTGTTGACGTATCTTAACATTTTGCCCTCGATGGGAAGGCTTTGATTGACCTGGGGGTCAGGGCTCGTGCATACGAATGAATAATTGGAATCCGACGGGCGGCTACACTCTCGTCAGCCCTCGTACAATGGCTGTTTGTCTTAGAGTATTATGCCATGGTAGTAGTTCCATGTTTGAATGCAATTCCAGGTTTTATAAAATAGTTACATTGTTCTGCTTTACCCGTCACGCTGTCCGGTTTAAATCCTGAATGGTAGGATTTCCAAATAAATTACTCCTTTCATCCCAAATGGACATTGCCCACAAATTGAGTTTCTGTTACTGTGTCTTTGGCCTCATGACCGTTGATGGCATTTGCCATAAAGTCGAAACTGGAGAATCTCTGGTATAATTAGGGTCCATAATCTTGCTCCATTTGTCATTTACTGACTCACAAATCAACCTTGAAATCATCGTCTAGGAGTGGTTCTCCTTCTTGATTGTAGAATTTGTCTCTAGTGCCAACGCATTCCTAATTTCCGTAGTGTGCCTATTGCAACGTGACAGGTGACGCTACGAGACAAGATTGAATGAAGTATTAATTAGCGTAGGCTGTGCCATCTTATTGTGTTAGAGTCATGAGTTCATTCTCCATACACCTTTCTTTATCCTCCAAAATTGGTCTGCCTGCCACAGATTTGCATTTCGCTATAAGTCACAACCATATTTTTGAACTTTAGTGTCACACTCCAGTGGAAATTAATGGGGGCATTGGAATAGGTCATCACAGTTTGTCGTGCCAGCCAAGTGGACCAAAGGCGGCGAGTGTGCGTGTGCGAAAACGCAAACCACAAACTTGAATGTCGACGGTACGACCAAGCACTAAGTCAGCAATTCACAACACGTTGTGACCCTTTTGTGCTTCCTCCGCTTAGCGCTTAACGTAGTAAACAACCCAATGGACAGTGCGTGCTATTGTCCGGTAGAAATGTGAAACCACGAGACACTTCATATAAATTTTAATTCAATCATGCAGTATTTCGGATAGCCTTTAGTCGCAACTCAAATTGTTTTTAGACCTCACTTCTGTTGACAGTTTGAGAGTTCGTGGTGGGCACCTTGTTAAGTTGACTCCCGTTTCAACACAGCGTGCACGAAAGCAGTGGATGAGAGGAATCTGCACTATGCAATTTCGAAACCCCCGGCCTTATGTAGACCCATTTTAGGTGGTCCAGTGGATTATGTGGACAGAAACGAAGCAGAGTTTGACTTACGTTTCGAAAACAATCTACCCTTTGTACGATTTTTTATCGTGGCATTTTTGGACCATTTTTTTATTAACTCGTGGTTTTGGTGCCAAGCCATTTGGGGACTTCTCCATACCTTATGTGTATCGGCAGTCAACATCTCTACCGACGCAAGGAGGTCTCTCGGCTATAGATTAGTAAGAACACACTCTTCTTCATTTTCACATCTGAAGTCTAACCTTAATGGGGTAGAAGTGTAGATGCTGCAGATGAGTGAATCCGTAGGGGTTTTCTAAGGTTTACCTTCAACAACTATTCCAATCTCGTGTCCAAAAGGAAGGGTCTTAGCATCTGACACGGCACTAGTAATGGCCGTGAAGGCCGTGGAGCTGTCATTTGTCCAGAATGTGTGAGCCTATGACACAATTTCTCGGCTAGTTGGTTGGATCCGGGCTGGATGAACATGAGGAAATGTCAGAAATTGATAACACACCCATCACGAGGCCGAAACTCCAAGTCTAATGGAAGCTCCACGAAAATTCGGTGACGCCGTGACTAGTTTTGTTTGTTCAACTGGAATTCTGTGGCTGATTCGGTTGACGCATGAGTCTTATGGCATCAAGTGCATTGCAACGACTAGTGTTGAAGTCCACTAAGAGTTGAGTTGGGGTTGACGCCGAGAAGGAAGAAAGTTATGAAATGCTTTAAGAGATTAACCAATTCTTTGCTTGGTAGTAAAGCTGTTTTGTGTTTCCAGCACGACGCCTCCACCGGACAGGTCAGACTTCGGACCAAGCCAGCAGATCTGTTGCCTCCTACACATCGGCAGTGTATATTCTGTTTGAATAAACTGAGTGCATCAGGCAAACAATGGCATTTCAAAGGAAAAGTAACTGTCTTGGTGACGGCGGCTAGGGCTACGATGGTTCCCTTATTCCGCACCACAAATTGCACTCCCAACATCAGTTAAAGCACAATGGTACATTCCCCTTAGCAATGCCTTGCGAACGCGATGTCTCAACCTCTTAACATCTTTGTTTCACCGTTGCCGGGAGGGCACTATCCATAAATGCTTGCTGAGCGCCCTTTAGGCACTGAGCTCTTCGTGACTTTGTCTATAACGATGCCTTACCAGGTTGTGGCAAGTGGCATCGTAGAAACGTGTCACAGGGAGATCGGGTTATTTTCAACTACCAAACTGATCATAATGAGTTTTCTAATTTTTCAGCTGTAAAACATTAAATGAAACATTTTCTTTGCTGTCAGCAGTAGCGACCTTTCCTTTGAGGATATTTTCAGTCTAAGTGCAGTTGAAGTGATTGGACGAGCCAATGCAGTTGAATCCATCGTTGTTGATTACTTTGCCAATGTTATGAAGGGATTTGGACATGTCCCTGGAAAAACAAAACTCTGGTCTTTTGCACTGCAACATTTCACCTGTGGTTGACTTCTAGATGTTAGCGGGTTCAACGAAACGACGATTTTTCACGTCTCCCGGCCTAATTGTCCTGTCAGTCAATTCCAAATCGCAATTACGGGAGGTCTTCTCTGATCTCGATGGAAATTTCAATCTATTTCGCACTTGGCAGTCATGCACAACCATTCGCTCCATCATCTGATCGGCACTTTCTCAAAGCCCAGTTTTTTAACCATCTCATCGCCCTCCAGCGCATTAGCATCGGCTACTCAATTTTCGATTCGCAAATTACCACTTCTATCATCCAAAAGTGGGGGGAAAATTAGATTCAGTAATAAAAAGATTACGAATGTATGCGGTAGAATGGTGTGATAACGTCACCAGCATCGCAAGTAAACATGATCACGTTATTCTCACGGTTAAGCATCAACCTCTTTTTAATTCTGAATGAGGAAAATGCCCCCGTTGGATACACCAGAACAATGAGTTTTTTAAGCCACAACATAAATGATTTTTGGAGCTATGAAAATGAAAGAGAGGAGAAACAAACGCTGTGAAATAGCAGTCACAGTTGGTTCTTATTTAATTTCACTCGTTTGGCGGTTCTGACATCGAAAATTCCTTTCGCCTTGGTTACCAGTGGGAAGTGTGGTCAACACTTATGCACTTGTTATTCAGAAACCGTTCGCTTTAGTTTCAAAGGAAATCTGCTGAAATTAAAGGTGATGCTAAATATGAGCTCCTAGCAGAAGAACGTGCGCTTAAGGGTAAGGTCCACTACACCTCAACTTCTGTGTGATTTTCAGATCCGAATTAGCTTAAATAAAGGCCGTACGACCTCTTGAGATGGTGGTTATAGGGGTCGACGTAGCACCTTAGAAGGTGTGTGTGTGTGTGTTTGTGTAAAAGTGATTACAGCATTGTGTATTTATTTGAGGTTGCTATTTTGAGGATGATGTTGAAGATATGATGAGAACTCTAACTTTAGATTGGGCATTAGTAGTCTAGAACTGAGATTTATTGCTTTTCGCTTCTATTTTCTCCCCTTCCTCCCTCTCCCTCCTCACTCTTCCTCCCCTCCCCTCTCCTCTCCTCCTCCTTTCCCCGCCTTCTCTCCCTCCCCTATATGAAACTGTGAAGATGCCGCAGGCCTCGATGAGCTCGTTGAGTTACCTCCGCCTGGCCAATGTAAGCATTCCCTCCTCTTGCATGGGAAACCCGACTTCGCACTCAATCCACTACGCATGTACAAACTGCCTGCTATAGCATCTTGGGTGTTTCTTGTCTTCGCAGCAAAGAACTACTAAGCTAGGACTAAAAAAGGATTTTGGATTTGGCAATTGAGGTCGCTAATTAAAATGAAGGCAGTTACCGGTAAAAAGGTCATCCAGTTAGCTTTCTAATTAAAAGTCCAAATGCATACCACTCTCTTCTTATGCTAATGATTTAGGTGGAGAATAGTGCTCGCAAATTTCCAGCACACAATGTATCCTTAAGTTTTGGGAGGACCACACTCTAAAATGTGAGCCAATTGTTGTGGCAGAAGTGTTGAATGAGTTGTAGCCACCCCTTTTCATAGCGTTTTACAGCTCACGGCGTACCAAACCTTTCGCAGCTAGGCGTAAACTCCTATTCATCATGAGTGTCAAGCCTTAACTGATGTTCATTTTGCTTTACATTGTGTCTCCTTATCGCCCTTGCCTCGATCATGCCCTTTGAACCATTAGCAAGTTGCAAGTGAAGGCTTTCAATTTAAAGTTTACCAACCCACCACGCCGCTTTCATCAGTATGACTAACTCCGGCACACGAAAATTATTAGCGAAGGCGGTGTGTGCCCTTGACCTAAGACCAGACACTGGAGCGAAACACGATGGCGTAGTAACCTCCAAGCTATTGGTGGTTTAGGCAATGCGTGACTCAGCGGTCAGCGCATGGGCTGTCGATGATTGGTTGAGCTGAAACTAGTTGGGATGTGTGTGCGGACGTGTGGATGGCGAGAGCCTGTGGTGACTCGCAAAGGCTGCGTGTGCGTTCGTGCGTGCGTGCGTCTCCGTGAACGGGGCAGCGATTCACTCGCCCAAGCCAGAGGAGAGAGTAGTAGTGACCGTGTCGTCTGCCTGCCCACGCACCCACGTACATCCTTTTGGGAATCAATGCTCTTCGCAAATGGGGATCTCAATTTGACCACATAAAACAGTAAGTTAACACCATTTTAATGATTTCCTAAATCACTCATCCTTTTCCACACTGACTAAAAACTGATGAAAAAGGTCTCAATGAAGTAACCACATTTGATCCTCAAAAATGTTTGTATTTCTTCTGAGTCCAATTAGGTTCTTGCATTTCTGACGCTTCACTGTGTGCTTGGAGTGAAAAACTCTCCAGAAACAATGACATTTTCTCTTTTCGTGCTCATCTGAGTGTCTCGCTTAGCATCGTTTGCTGCTAAGGTGATAATTCACTGAAAGTCTACCATAGGACCTCAATGTAAGTGTCAAGTTTAAACAAAATGAAATGTAAAATACTGTCTTCAAAGAGTTAAGGTTTCTGTGCCTTTGTATTTTATGTTTACTAGTAGATGGAAAACCACCAATAATTAAGGGTTAAACATAACTCCACGTTGACCTTCAGTACGTCTGGACCGAGATCTTCCCGTCCCACGCTTCATTCAGTGAATTTATACCCTACTTTAAACAATGCTTCTATTATTGATAACTTCTAAAACATGTTTTGGTTTCGTGCGGATCAAAGGCACTACGGAGGCGAAATTAATTGTCCTCTTGTCGGCATAGGCCCAGCTTTATCATGGCTACTGTCATATTTACTATCAGAAGGCCCTGGTGCCAGACCTGAGCTCATTTTTCAGGACGGAGATTCGCTGTATGTTTATTTGGGTTAGTCACAACGGCAACAGAGTGGGTCACAACATTTGAATGAATTAAATCCGCATTTGATTTCTCAAGGGCTTGAAACCATTCGTGCATTTGTATTGTCCTCTGTCAAACCGTCGTCCGTCTTAGCCTCGCACGAGGTCTAGCAACGGAAGTGAATGCAAAACCCAGGGGGGGGGGGTTAAGTCAAACTGGTCCAGGCAAAAATCGACGAGGGGACCTCACTCTCCTACTACTCAATGACAGTGAGCTGTCACCCTGCCTCGAGAACAAGAGTGGATTGGCAGCAGCGTCAACGACTGTACTGGGTGTAGGAGGAGTTGCACGACTTCCTTTCGCTCATGCACTAAACGAGAGATGGGCGTTTTCCGGCCCACTTTAAATTCACCAACGGAAATCAAACCTCATTTTCCATAAAATGCTTTTCAAATGAATGAATTATTTTGGGAGCTTGTATTGCTTTGCTACTTGAATGAAGTATCTCCCAGAGAGCCTTGAAAAGCTCATTCCCTCATTAGTGGATTGCACTTGTGGAACCTCACTTATTCGTTTTGAGACAATCTCCAATTTTGCAGCTGATCTATTCTCGAGGTGCCGTTTGGTCACTGAATGCATATTTTGTTGAGGGAACGTTGATTTGGCAGATGTTACGGAAATGATTTTCTGTCTGAAGCAATGATTTTGAAGCCGTGATTTCGTGGGTTGAGTAATCGAGGTGAAATGGCTGGGTGCCAATTGACAACATTTAATGGCCTCATCGTGGCATCAAATGTCGGGTTTTTCGTTCTAATGAATGCTAATGGAGGCATATTTCGTGATTTAGTAACCGGTGGCAGATCTCAAGGGATCAATCATGGGCCATAAAGTAAATACAAGCCTTGTTTACGTTCCTTGTGGCGTGAAAAGTGTCTCTGACGTTTATGAGCGATTTTTCTCATTAAAATCTATTGCGGTTAACCTTCTAAGGGGAACGATTGGACTCTGAAAAATTAAATCATGCACAATAATACTGAGACCGTTTTCCTTTGCGTGGATTCTGCTTTGGAGGCTCTAGGCACACTCTCCTTCCCTTGTTAACGTAATTCGGGACTGCTTTCTTGGTTAGCGCATGTTACTAGTATGCCTTTTCAACTGTAGAAATTGAGTACATGGAAAAATCACCACCCTTTTGCACTGGAGGATTCGTGGAATACCTGGCGGAGCACGTTAATGGGCTGAATTGGCGAGGCATATCAACGCACTGTGCTCTCTCTCAAACCGATCTCATTCTTTTCCTCTGCATTTTATGCATGGTTTTGGTGGTTCTTTGTGTCTTCTTACTGTCAGACCTCTCCACATGGCGGCATTTGTCACGCCATCGAAGGTTCTCACTTAGCCGGCCAAGCTCCGATCGCTTCACTTCTACGAAGCGAAGTTTTCACGAACGAATGATCTTGATGAGTGATATTGTGCAACCGATTCACCGACCTTGTGTTATACATGTGCAAGCTTATATGTCTTCCAAGAAACTTGGTATCACTGCGTCTACAAAAGTGTCAATAAAAACTAAATCCGTGGAGCCTCTAAGACTCCCCACCGACGGAAAAGATGGTACCAGTGGGTCCTCCATTTCTCTTCACTCCCATCGTAAAAGTATGGAGATTCAATTACTTTTTATCATCCTGATGATTGCCGTAATACTTGCGCTTGTGGTCGGCACCGTCTACACCTGTTCTTTAGCTCGAAGGATCGAAATGACAATCGAGAGCTTAACAGGCCACATCGAAGAAGTTGCGATTTCTTCGAAACAACTGGCAAACACCTTTATCAGCGAGGCATACGCAATAATGAATCGAGTGATTGAAGAGGACGTAGCACAAAATAATCCAAAAAGTTACCTGAGACCATTTGTGGAAGAAATGAAACTCATTTGGGGTGATCAGGCCATGCGTCTGTATGCGATGGCCCAGAAGCTTAGTCCCTCAAAAGCTTGGCTACGTCAGCAAACTCGCACCAGCCTCCTTCACTTCAACACCTTCCTCCGTCGTCTTTCCTCCCTCTTTGCTGTTGCGCCTCTCCTCAGTGAGAGTAGCATCAAATCGACCAACGATCTTTTCCTGTCGTACTCCTACGAGTTGGCACGTCTAACTCCTCACCCGCTTCTTAAGCCAGTTTCTTGGCGAGACATATCAATACTTAACTTCACCGCTACCGAACTGTGCAAGCACAGCACAACCCATTTTTCCACATGCGCTGATGTTGAATCACACTTTGCAATGATTATTAGCAAATTGGAGGCTTGGCCACGATATAAGAAAAGCCGAGACTTCACCAAAGTCACAGGTTATTCTCTGCTTCCTCGTTTGCTAAACGCTGAGGCACAAGTAGAAAAGTGGTTGCCATTAGCACAAGATCCCACTGGTAATATCCCCTTCCTTTTCGACGAGTTCCTTGTTTGGGAAATCGAGAAAGAGCGAATAAAGTTAAACGAAAGTATCGACGCCCTTCCTCGACAGTGGGAGAAAAGCTCAATTAGGAGGTACCTGAACGTAGTCGCGGTATTACCATTCATTCTGGCTGGAGCTCTGACTCTCCTTGTGGCAATCTCAATAGTTGCCTCTCTCTTCAACATCACTCTTTACTGTGGTGTGCTGCAACACGGTAGAGCGGGAAAGGATGTTCGAATGGAAAAATTCGCTCCTTGCCATCTTCTACTCATCGCAATTTTCTCAACTGTGCTTTCTGTCACAGGTGTGGGATTTGGCATAGTGGGCAGTATAGGTCAGAGTCAGTTATGCGACGTTCTTCTTGCAAGGTCTCAGTATGCTGATGTATGGCTGAATCACTTGTTGACCAGCATCGCCCCTCGAGTACCAGATTTAAGAGATGTTCTCAAAATCGAAAACATTCACTTTCGTGTTCCCAAAAGGGTCTTCAGTACCTTGGACACCAATTACACCCCTTCTTCGCCACCGTTCCTTCAATCAGTCAACATGAGTCGTCCAGTCAATTTGTCCGCCTTGCTGCACTCTAATTGGCTCAACAAGACTCTGTACGCCCTATGGTATGATGAGGTTTGGCATAAGATGGAGCAAGCAAACCTATCTTATCAGATTCCAAGAGTTCAGCTTTCCACGACCTTCAACAAATTTAGGAAAGCTGTCAACTTGGATCAGACCTTCGATGACCTATACGTTGGTGATGTCACTGAATACTTACCTGAACCATGTAATGACTACTATACACAGATTGGCCTTGCATTAAGCGCTGTGGCAAAACGCGGCTCAAAGAAGTTGGATCAGCTGGCTAACTACTTTACCACCATTGGTGATTTCATTACTTTGTATAAGTTGAAATTCGATCGAATATCCCAAGCACTCAGTGTGATTAAGGAAAACAAAAAAGTGCTTGAACAACTTAGTCCTCTTATTGAAGTTGGTGATAAAATAATTGGATATTTGGTAAATAAAACAAACGAAGAGCTGATTTCCCAATTCACGAACAACACTGCCGAAATCTTCATCAATTCCCGTCGCCCAATCGATCAGTACGTGCTTCCACTTCTCCATCAAATTCTCGACCGCCTTTTCCCTTATCCCAATCTACGACAGACTTACAGAAAGGCTCTATCCCCTATCTGTCCTACTGGCACCACTCATTCGCCGCTTTTCCCAACCCTAAAGAACTTTGGCTTTACTCTGAGTCTTTCTGCTTTTAGTTTGTTTATTGTCAGTGTTGTGTGGAATCGTATGCAGTTTTAAGAAGACCACGCGCCTAAACAACAGAGGCAATCTTTCTGCATACGGTGCTTTCCTTATTCTCCTTTTTTGTGTTGAAGATTTTAATATTCCCTTTTGTACGAACCTCTTCTCATGATCTTTGTAATATGCTGCTTATTTTCTTTAAAATAAACTTCGAGCCTATTTATTTCCACATAGAATGTGGGCTGCGTTCATAGTTGGGAGAGGTGATGGCGGGTTGGCGGCGTGAGAGGGAACTCGTTGCACTGATGCGCGCATTCAATCGCCGACCCCATTGATTAGTTCTCTTTACAGGTTGAAACCTGCAGACAGAAGCACAGACTCAGCCTTGCATCCGGAAGCATTGATACGCTGATCAGCAAGACCAACAAGACTGTTAAGTTCTTCGTCTGGGTTCGAGGGCTTCGATCGCAGCAATCGCTATGGCGATTTGGTTTGAGTGACAAAAGCCAAACCAGGCATGGAGTTCGATATCGCATTTACGTGCTCTTAAGGGCAATAATATTAGGGACTGGGGCGAACCAGCCTGTGCAATATCTGGAAACTTTTGCTGAAACACTATGATTGTGGTACTTTGTTTATGCGAGCGACTATTGTCCGGTGGTAACTTTGACCCTTGTAAGTGTGAGCCGGCCTTCGGGCAAAATCAGAGTTCATTCTCTTCGTCTTTCCTTAGAACACGTGTATTCAGTCCAACTTAATGTCTTCGACTACGTTGTGGAAAGTTTCGGTCCGCTGCAGTGCCATACACACAGTGCAACCCAATATTCAGTGGAATTGCCAGAGTGAATGAATGAGGTTCTTGACAATTGGATAATCAGGTACTTAAAAATTCAATTCAAGGGTTTTGTGATTCGAAAATGTTTTTTGCGCAAATGGTTAAGGAAAATCAAAGGCGGGTTTCATAGGCTTGGATTCAGAGGAGGAGGAGGTGACATAACAGTTAGATACATGGTCCAATTTTTGTCCAAATACTCGACCAACTTAGTTCTTTGTAGGACAAAATTCGGTTTAGTAGCCTGAGCTCAGGTTCTATAACGTGGTTACCTACCATGTTTAAAGTCCGACATTCTATCAGCTCGGAAAAGCCACATGGCGTTTATCAGCAGTCCGAAAACCTATGCAGAGCAAAATTATCGCGCCGCACTCATTGAATCAATGAAACGGAAGAAAGCCGTTCTCCCCAATGTATTCCATGAGTGACTAGGAATTTCGAATTAATAAATTTATCGATGCTGTAGCGTCCCCAGACTTCTTAGCCGGTATAAGAAGTCAGTAGGTGCATCTGGATACATGTGTTCCGAAGACAACAGGGCGAATGGACCTGGACATGACCCAAAGACAAGCCCACATGTGCAACGGCCAAACAAACACTAATGTAATTGCCAAACGTCATGTGATCACATAAACAAAGTAGTAAGGGTGCAACAATAAGTGGCAATGCATTAGTAATTTCACTATTCTTAGAATTTTGAATGTTATTCAGTCTACGTGGTTGGTGCATTGCGTGCTGTCGAAGGTCTCATACATATTATTTATTTAAAGTCAACAGAGGATTAAAATTATGCGTCTTTATTAATATATTAATAATCTTTAGATGCTTAACAACGTACTTTAAACATTGCATTCTCCAGTAAGGATTATAAATATTAGCTTGAATTTCGATATTTGTTTATATCGACATCCCAGGCGGTCTTTCAATAAGTAGCAAGTATTGTGAGTCGTGGTTGATGATGTTCTATATGTGTGTCTTCATTGTTTGACTTGTGCTATAGATTTTAATTTTCTAATTTGATGAAAGAATATATTGCGCAGATCTGACTTGATCATAAACTCAAAGTTTCAACTTATCTGTTTTCGATATCAGGACGTGTCTCGATTTCGTGACCAGTTCGACGCATTTTGAGATGTGTCGATTTTCCTGTGATTTGTACTATAGCTACTCTGTATTTTGTTGTTTTCTTTAGTTCTGACTTGCCTAAGGGGGCTTTTTGCGCTTGAATTTAGCGTTTGCAAATGAGTAGAACTCTTGCTTCGGATCTATCTGAATTGTCTGTTGGGTCTGATCCCATTGAGGCAAATGGCTCTGTCCATCAGACGGGCGATTCTTCTCCAGTTGGACGCATAAATCCATGGAAAGGTCGCGCGGTGGCATCCAACAATGTCAGAGGAATAGTCGATGGCCCCTCTGGTGCATCCTCGCAGCCGCGGGATGTAACCGGAGGAAGTTCATCTAACGAAAGATTATTTGAAGCTGATGCCTGGCCAGAACCCTCGGCTCCGTTTGAGCGTCGCATAACGGTATCTGGTTCAGGTGCTAGATCAGTAGATGAAAGACCGAAAAACAGTAAGCCTGTTTCTGTAGTTGATGAAGAACCTAGCTTTGCTTGTATATTTTCTGCTTAAATTGCTTGTAGTACGTGGTGTGCAGTACAATATGATTTCTAGTTCATTCTTCGTTTCTCTTTTACAGGGAAACTTGGTCGGAAATGGCAAAACATTGAGATCGAATTTGCTACCTCGCGTGGAGGTGGAAATGGGAACCGGGGCGGTGTACGCATGGCATCTGGTGCTACAAACGCTAATCACCACTCTCCAACGTCGGTCCCACCGTCTGGTTCGGATATCAACTCAGCCCCTTCATCCGCTCCCTCTCGCGGTGGTGGTGGTAATCGCAGAGGAGGCTTGGCTTCAAACGGTTCTTTCAATCGCGGTCGTGGTGGTAGACACGTTAACGGCTATTATCAGTCTCGAGCATCGTTACGAGCTTCAGATCAAGACGCCCAGGGGACCTCAAATGATGTCTCAGAGAATAGTAACACAGAACCGGTGTCGAAATCAGTTCCCGCGGCCACTGCTTTTGCGAGCGGCGTACCGCGCGGAGCGTACTCATCACGAGGGCGTAGAGCTGGGTCACGGGGCGGCGGATATGCGAACGCTGGTTACGTGTCAAAGAATAGTGGAACAAGTGCTCCTCAGCCCAATACTTCCAGCTCTCTGACGGTACCACAACAGGTTTCTGTAGCGGCGGCAGCTGTTGCTGCTCAAGCAATGCCTCAAATGCCTGCAGTTGGGCCAGGTTAGCTAATTTTGTATTTTTCATTTGATCTAATCAGATTGTTGGTGGTGTGCGTAATTCCGTTTTTATTCAAAAGATGTTTTGAACTTTTAGTTACCTACCTATTTTCCAACATGTTGGTACCCGGACCAGCGGTCTTTCCGATCCCGCCGCAGACACTCCCTGTGACTACCGAAGCAGCTGTCATGGATGGTGGCGCAGCTGCCTTGCAAGCTGCGGTTCTATTACCTCAGTCCTCTCCTCAGGCCTGTCTCATTCCTCCCGAACCGATTTCTCCTGCAATCCGCAATCCACTACGAGAAGACGTTACACTAGAAGAGTTGCTAGAATTTCTAAATGAGTGCGGATGGTCCAGAGTTCGAATGCCGGACCATTTTAGAAACCATCCTACCGTAGCTGCAGCTATGCAGGCTGTCGGAATGGTTGCTGCGACCGGTGACGAAACTGCGGCTGAGTTTCCAAGGGAGGGTGCAGCTAGTCCTCCCGTGGAAAAGAAGGAGGATATAATTGTTGTTGATGACAAGTTCTACTTTGTCCCTCTAAATTCGCATTTAACGAAATTCCTGAAGTTTCATTCCAAACAGGATTACATTCGGCATCACGTGTAAGTTATTATTTATCACGTGGGTCGTATGTACCTGCTTCTAACTTTTTTTCTTTTTAGCGACTACTACTTCAGTGATGTCAATCTACAACGGGATGAACATTTGGTAAAATTAATCTGCACGAACAAGTACACATGCCCCATTAGCGCCCTACTCGGTTTCAATAGGCTCCGATATGTTAATACAACAGAAGATGAGCTTGTAGAAGGGGTAATGAATAGTTCAACCGTGAGTGTCGTGTTTGATGATCAACAACGGGCCATTGGCGTAGCACCTCAAAATCCATCGGTTTTGCGAACAGCTGCAGTTGCTTACCCAACGTCCTTTGATAGCACCGTGCAGCAAACCACTCAATCTCCTGACTCACAGCAACCGAAGTCTTCCGAAGTTGAACCTTCTCAGGTGTTAATGCCTGTCGGCTCGATAGGCAGTCTGCCGTTCATGTTGTCTAACGGACTCGCCGCTCCCTCAGTCCCCGGTCTGCAACCTAACGGAAGCCACATTTTCCAATCTCCTCACTTTCTCCCCTACCCGGGTGTTCCAGCCCTACCGTCATACTATGGGACAAATACCTTGCCCGGAACAGTAGCCACCGGCGCAGCTGGCGACCACACCATTGCGATGAGCCCAGCGCCCACCACAGATAATGCAAGTGTGTGTTATCGTCCCCTGTGGCCAACTCCATCGGCCTTTCCTCAGCCTACTACATCGTTTCTCCCGTATATTGCATCACAGCAGCAGTCATTTTATGTTTCGTTACTGCAGCCACCGCCAGCAGGTTTGGCTACTGCTGCTTCAGTCCATACTAGCATATCACGGAACCCTCCTATGCCGTTTCTTCCTACTCCTGTTGGGGTCCCAAGCACACAAATACCGGCCCCGCAACAGAGGGCATATGCTGTTTCTGTTAGGGCACCACATCGACCTCCCAGTAATCGAACCATTAGCGGTGATTGCAAAGTCGTTGATGAAACACTAGAACAGAATTCATGAACTACACGGTCTGCCTTCAATATTTAACCCTTCCTTGTACATAATGTCGATTTTTTATACAATTTTCATTTTGGAACTGCTACGTAACTGTACAGTCTATGTATGGTAGAACAAAAAAGCCAAAAAAATGTTTTAGCGTTTGCGAGGAATCGCAAACGTCTTCTGTACATAGATTTGCATTTACCATCAACTTTCAGTGACGCTTGTCTCGTGTGAGTTTTCCTATTTTCGTTTTTCTGTTGCTCTCTAGCAATTTAGGGCACATATCCATCCGAACATATGTAAAAAGAACTAAAACAATGCTTTTAAACAGCTTCCTCCCGAAGACGTTTTACCCGTTTCCTCTGCCGCTCATCACCTAGCAAGCTGTAGAGGATTGGATCAGCCTCTTTCGCTTCAGACCCATGTTGGGACCCTCTTATGTGTCCACATTTCTACTGTTTGTCCTTGCTTTTTCGTCTCTGGCCCACATTCCGCTTTCTTCTGTTAAGTGTACTTCTACCTGGACACTTCTCCTTGTGCTTGTTTGTATGTCCTGTTGATTCTGTAGATGCGCCACTTTCATTATTATCATAGGCGCCATAACCAACCTCATCTTGTGCATGAGTCCATCGGTATGGTACTTGGCTTTACACATCGGGTGTAGTGCATATTAGTGCGCATCTGTCAATGCGATGAGACGCTGTTTGGGGGGTGGTATGCTAACTTGTTGTGGGGGGAAATTCGTCGGAACTCCGTATTCGCCGTTGGGAGTGGGCATTGTTGTTTGCATGGCAACTGTGCATGGGGTGACTATCGTAGTACGATGACTTCCGGTGCTTGAGGGTGCTGCCTATGGCTGTTGCGTCTTGCTGAAGTAAGTCCGTTATTACTTGGTAACCACGCAAATGGCCTCACGGAGGAACTTGGGACACTGAAATCTAAGGTGAGTTTGAAAGATCGCTCCGAGCGGTGATTGATCGTGTACTACTATTTGGCTGTTTTCGACATTAGCAACAAGGCCGAGTAGTAGTACGAACGAATGGGATACTATCTTGCTGGACAATTCGAATTGACCTTGGGGGGGGGGATGCGAGTGCGGTTCCATAGCAAGATTAGTTATTTCAGGTACTTGGATCATTTGAAGGGTTTGGACTGTCATGCAGCAGGAACGATGTCAGGACGGTAGGATTGTCTCAGCGATTGTCACTGAAAGTACCCTTACTTTCCACATCTGCCAAATACGCAAGAGGTGGCATAAGGGAGGTTTGTTTTTTCACAACTACAATTTTGCACAATGGTTGGGACTGCTCAGGGTGAAGGTGTCCACTTTAGTAATGGCATAAATATGAGGCGTAAAGCTCCGCAATAGCAAAGCATTGGTCATTAGTAGCATGTCTTATACCATATTATTTCCATATTTTTTTGTTGTAATTAATTTGTGCTCTATTTTGAAATGGATAGTCCCTTCTGTCACATGAGGTAGTGAGGAAGCAGCTGATAACTTGAGATGATACGGAATGAACTATTCAGTTTTGGGGACCCGTATGCAGTCATTTTAACGCCAAAGGCACCAGTAAATTAAAGTTGTCATTAAGCACGACAGGCCATTTGTGGATTGGGTATGAAGGTTTGCGTTCTTGTGGCTGATGAAGTGCAATTTGTATGCACTATTGGCGAAGTGCAACGACTTCGCTGTCAGAATTTAGGGTTGTGGGCATGGCTTGGCAGGGGTGAAGGTCAAATTGATTGCGGAAAAGTCTTTTGAACAGATTGACGACTACTGGTTTTGGACTCTGCAATCTCGCACGTTATTTGACATCGTTCTGTCAACACCATTGTAAGTGGATTGCCAAGGGACTTATTTAGGATGATCGAACTGCCATACCCTCCCACTCTAAATTGACATGTTTTAAGGGAATTGGAATTTGGGACTAGTGGGGAATGTTATGCAGAAGAATTTGAAGAATTTCCTTTCAAGCTTTACAATGGTTGGAGCCGTGCTGTTTAAATCTTGATTTAATCTCTTCAATGGCTGTCTTTGCTACGTCTGTGGCAATGAAATCTTTGTGTCCCCTTAGCTCCAAATCCGTTTTCCATAGTGAGGATCAGTAATTGCTCTACCATGGGACTCACTCGAACAACTGTAACATTTCTTTTGAAATAATTACTTTATAATCATTGTTGACTGTCATCGCGCCTAGCCACAGCCTCTACAACAGACTTGGACTCCGGTAATACGCCTGTAGGTGCCAGATTGGAACTCCAGAGCCAAAACACTGCCTATCAGGAAGGTCAATCAACAATTCCAAAAGACCTGGAAAGCACTGACCACTGATGGTATGAATGGAACATTTCGGAGCCTACCGGTGGTCAGTCGCTCAAGCTGCGCAACCCACAGACCTTGACCTAAAATACATGATTTTTTAGGTTTCAGAAACATGACCTCGAATGTATTTACGTGTTTAAGGCTATGTGAGTGCGTTTTAGTACACAAATCTTCTCGCCAAGATTTCACATCTGCCTTATTGTGCTCCTAATCGCTATAGGCTGTTTAAAGTTTTGAAACGCCGACCGACAACTTAGTTTGGGGGCACAATTTCCCGCCACACAGGAGGTTGAAATATTTTAATAATCGGATACACCTACCCCCATGCCACAACCAGTTCGACACCTCAAGGTCCCTATTCTCCTCTTGCCTCAACTCATAGCGGGTTTATGAACGACTTAATACTAGTCACAAATGCCTCTAGTGACACAATTCTACTAGTAAAAGTGTCAGTTTAGACTGGAAGCATAATGTGGTGGAGGTCATCGTTTGCTTTCGGTTTCTGCCATTTCAAATAACAGCAGTAGGAGGCTAGTTGTACCAAAAGGACGCGGAGCAGTAAAGGATTACGCGTTTATTGAAACGTTATTTCCGTATAAGTCATTAATTGGGATTCATAAACACACACACACAAACCACATACAAATGCCACCTCTTTGCTCTTAACGAGCCCTGTAATTGTTCAAACAAAGTGGAACAGCTAAGCTGATTGGCACGGGAAAACATCTTAAGGAATGGAAAATATGCTTACTTTCGTCCCACTCAATCCTCAAAGCTCACACCATTCTCTCAGCGTTTGAATAACATCTAAAATTAGTCCCTCACGGTAATGGCTCAAAACTCTCAAAACCTAGATGGTAGAGATCATCTATGCTCACTATTAACATGGACGATTTTATCCCTCCTTCAAATTCGCTCCAGCTTATGCGTCATTGGACCAGAGTTGGGAATCCTATCTTCGGCATATTCACGAGAACAACTCGTGTGCTCTGGTTTGGAGCCATTGACAGACCTACATCCATCTTGGAGACGCCAGCATCTCAAGTTCTTCCACAGCTAACCATGACTTTTCCACCGTCTTTGACATGTCCGACCAATTACCATAATTTGTTTCACTCCAATTTTGCTATCGTCCTGTTTACTAACAACATACGGACACACAGGTTAAGTTACTGACTAAAGTAACAACAAAGATCATTCCTCTTGCGTATTTAGATAAAAATGAGATCTTTTGATCTGGCTTGGGGGTACTAGGAATTGCTTAAACGGTGGTTATCCCATAGACTCGGCGCCTAATTCGAGTGGACAGCTGAGCATGGCTGAAGTGCTGATTAAGACCTGTGGATGGCGCAGTTGGTGTAGTGGATTTGAGTCAAGTAAGGCAGCCTTCACACGGAGGTGGAACCCGACAATGTTGGAGTTATTGTGGAGAGATCACCAAATGAAATGACCTTCACCTCTGTTAGGACATTGCTCAGGCTGTTGAGATTTGCTTGTGGACGTGGTGCACTTTCCCACTGAAGATTGCATTCTTTCACCTCGCATAATCACACACCTCAGTAATGCAGTGAGCCTGATGGGTTGGATGCAGGTGCTCCTGAGAACCCTGATCTGGCATTTCTAGGACCATTTTTTAGTTTAACTCAAACTACACCTTTAGTGCGCAGTATTGCACAAACACCATTTGTTCCACAACACTTCTGTGATTGTTTGTAATAACTCTTCAAATTCCCACCTGTTTATGATGGTCGAAATCAACTCATTAATGTGAATGCAGTAACAGATTTCACTTCCAAGTCTTTTTTCCATGACCTTTTGTCTCTCATTCATTTATTGTTTCCATAAACCATTTCATCCTGGTTTTCTTTCCACCCTCTTGGTCCCTCAGATCATTCAACTCTGGTTGCTGCCGCGATTTGAGGCAGAAAAGTAGTCTTCATTAAAGTTGCCCTAATCAGTGTTTCAGCGAAGAGCATTTGCGCAACAGAAGTAATTATTTCGACTCATAAAAATAAGTCGTTTCGTTATTACTTTTTTTTGTAACTACGAAAGGCTGAAGAATTACTATTATTTTATTATAACTTAGGCCAGTTAAATTTATCCTTAAGGATTGCCATTTTCCAGGTGAGGGCTGGCGCCTATTTTACACCCTACTTGACGCAGATTTTTGGGCTTGTGCATCACACTCAGTCACGGGACGATCATTTTGACCGATTAATCTTGACTTCGGCAGTAAAAAAAAGCATCCAAATTGGGAACACCAGAAACGTCTCAAATGCTTACTGTGGCCAATTCGTAGGGGTGATGGGATGTGTTAGGAATTGCTCCTCTCCTTCTACTTTCCCACTTTTCAGAGTGCCATCGAATCGGCATCATTCACTCTTCCCATCGCAGTTTTACTCACCACTTGCATTGTTTTTTGTCGAAATTTTAATCCACTTCTACTTTTGGTATGTGAAAAGGCAGGAGAGCTGCAATGACAACTGAGCACGTTGCTTGAATGTAAGTCAACAGCCAAAAAGACCAAAGAAATAGCGCACCTTGTTGCAAGGGTAAAATAAACAACCTCCGGTCCAGTTACTGCTTTCAAAGTTGCCTGTCATCGCTTCAAAAGGATGCTCTGACCCTGACCCAAATACCTCTTACAAAGGTGTTCATTAAACTTGGCGTATGAAGTATTCCGCCTTGATTT